ATAATTTTTCAAATTAAATTTAATATTGATGATATGAATTCATAATTTTATTTTTCTTAGTAAAAGTATGATTGATCTTAAAATGATCAAAGTGAAATAATGATTTGAATTAAAAATTCCACATTGATATGAAATTTCACATTCCATAATGATGTTATTTATTTCTACAAGATGAAAATTTTACATTTAGAAAAATTTTTATTTTAAACTATGGATTTTTTGGCTTTTTTTATTTCAAATTTAGATTAATATATTACATGAAGGTAATTCGATTATTTTAATAATAATAATTTTCATTATGAAAAAATGTCACATGACAAAAATGATTTAAAAAGAAAATACTCTTTACCTAATAGTTATAAATCTTAACATAAAACAAAATTTTACATTTAGATGCATCAGTGCATTGTTGCAATAACAACCTTAGTTGCAAAAATTATATTTGTTGTGTTAAAATTAATATCCAATATTGAAATGAAAAATTGATTTCTTTATTATAAAAATATCAATGATGAATAAAATTTACTTACAGATTATTAAAATATTGAAATTTGGATATTAATTATTCACAGAGATATATCGTTTGACTATAATTTCTTTTTAAAAATAATGTATTGAAATTTGCAAAAAAACACATTTGATTATGAAAAATTTGTCAATCAGTGAGATGTAAAATCCATGGAGAAATGAAATCTTGATTTTGAAAACTCATAGTATTCACACAAAAAAATCTTTTGCAGTGGGAGAAAATTGGATTTGAATTTGAATGTATAAAGTTATAATATACACAAGTTACATGTTGTAGAAATACTATTTATCAATCAAAACAATGCAATACTGATAATTCATCTTTCAAGTTCATTTTTTATTGAATAGAGTTGGAAGATGAATTATCAGTAGAAGAAATTTGCAAATATATTTATAATTCAAATTTTATGTGAATCAAAGAAATGTAGGATTAACAAATATAAGAAATTGAAAAGTATAAAGAAAATTCACAATATGTGCACATACTCCAGATTCTGAAATATTACTTTTTATATTATTAAATGTAATTAATGCCTTGTTCTATATCAAAATTTTTCTTGATGAGATAGATTCATAATCAAATTTTTCTTAAAAATCATAAAAATATGATTGATTTTTGAAATAATCGGAGTGAAATGTTGAAATTTATTATGACTAACAACGAAAAAAATCATATTTGATAATAAATTATTAAATTTTTTTTACAATATGAAAATATTTAGATTCATTTGATGACAATTTAAAAAAATTTTAAAATAATAGTGTATTTATGCTAGATTTCATTAAAAATTAGAATTTTAAATTAAATTGAGCTAAATTATTTCTTCTACAAAATTCCATTTAAAATTTTGACAAATGCTCATATGGAAAAAAAATAAAAAATTTCTGGTCTAGTATAATTATTTGCATGAGGACATTCCAACCAGAGTTACTAATGAAACAAAGTAGTTTAAGAAAGAGGGAAAAAAAATTTGATATTTCTACTGATTATTACTGAAAGCTCTTGTGCAACCTATAATAAAAAATATGAAAAGAAAGTAAATAGCTGGAATAGCGCATTTAACTAAAAGTAAGAAAGCAAGATAAAAGTAACCAAAAAAAATCTTGTGCTATTTTTTTACTTAGGCCATCACATGATAGAAGTTTCAAAGACTCAGATTAATAGTCCCATAAAATTAGACAAGAAGCACATATGTGGATGTGATAATATATCATAGTAGTTAAATGGTTAAAGTCGTAGATTTAGGAAAAAAAGAGATTCTTAGAACAAAGGTCGTCATGAAACACTATAGCCATGTGTACTCTCTTCTGACTCAAAACCAAATGTTCAGGACTCATTGATCTTTTGAATCATCTTTAATCCATCGATGAAAATTTTGCAGCTATAAAATTCAACAAGCAAGAGGAGTTGTCAAAACACATGAACTCCCTGATGCAATTCAGAGTAACTACTAACCTCGCTTGGTCCGCAAGGATGACTGGATGCAGGATTGTTAACGTGAAACGACAGATGCACGTGTCACGCATCCATGTTGCTATATTCTTGTGACAAAATCAGTCGAAACTGCATAAATGTCCAATATATACTCGGAAACTTGAAATGTAAAATCTTAGCAACTCACTTGCAATCTATTGGCCACAACTGTTGGTGGCTGATAGATTGCAATTGAGTGACCACAGCCAGTTGTGAGATTCGGTCCAATATGTGACGAGAGGATTTGATACGTGAAGAATCTACCGTGTAACCTTTCGCGGATTAATGAAGGGATTACCCGAAACATGGGGTTAAAATCCTGGCATTCATTAATAAGTCGAACGTCTTCGTTTGATTTTTTATTACTTAAAATAATCTTGTGATCTTGAGATTCTTTTTTATCTCCTAAAACGAGCACCTCGGGGCTCGTACGTTTGAGCCTTTCTCTCGCCGCACACGCATAGCAAACCTTAAAAAAAAATTCCAAACGGTATTTGATCTTTGCATATGTTTAGACAGTAGAGCCCCAAAGTAATTCAAAAAAGATTGTTTTTGGGTAAACATCAACGTGTCAGTATAAAAAACTTTTTCTTTAGAACACTTTTGACCATCTCAAACACACAGTTACAACCGGTACATGCATTATAGGTATTCAAATGGATCAAAAAACTCGTGTTTCGTGCTAAAGATCTCAAAGATGCGCTTCTATTGCACATTAACAAACTTACTCTACTTGTCAATACTCGTGTGGCATTTGAGATTTTGTCTTCTGATGCAGTTCATCAATCTAATCAATTTTTAACCTAGTGATAAGTTTACAATCATTATGCTTGAAGACAGTTTTTCAGATATCTTGATTATCTTTAATTATACCATTAAATTGATTTGTGACAGTAGATGTGACATAGATTTGAACCTTTTTGCTTCTGTTTATGAATGCATAGATTTCAAATCTATGCATTCAACAAAATATAATTTTCGAAAGTTTTGAGCTATATAGACATTATATGCAATTCTATAATTTCATTATGATACATTGCATACAAAGAATTTTTTAGTAAAAGCGAGACTCTGAATAAATAATCAGCTTTTTACAATACGCAGTCACTTTTTCTTTGAATTTGTGAGAAGATAGCCATTTTTTTCTCTATAGACTTGATAATCAATGGAGAAAAAATTATTTTATATTTCCGCTTTGAGTAGTCTGGTAGAGAACTATTTTCTTATATGAGGCCATGTGCGTTATACGGGACCGAGAGACACATGTTAATATTTATTGATGGAGAGTTAGTGTAACAAAATGAATACAAGACGAATATATTGTAAGCATATCAACTTTTTTTCCCCATTTACTTCAGATTATGTAAAATCATGAACATAAGTTTATATATATATATATATATATACATGTGAAAGGTCTTATTCTTTAAGAACAAGTTGTACAAAAATTTGCTAACCTGTACTGAGAAATTTCATATCTTTAGCAGCGAGGAGAAACTCATCTTTATTTAATCATTATATTGGTGTGCACACTTTATTTATTGTTGAATTGAATTATACAATTTTCGTTTGTTAGATACATAAGCAAAAATATTTAATAGCACCATGCTATAAAATATAGCCCCGTGTTACGTGTTTGATTTAATGCTTATGACGCTTTATGGGACCTTCCCATCAATTTTGCAAAATTTCTTAGTACTCCTTCTGAGTTTAATCTTCTCATTTTAGCAATGGTCGAGTGTCTTCGCGTCCAACCACAGAAGGAGTGCAGTACTGCCAGAGTTTCATCCCATAGTGATTACAGTACAGGAACAGACAGACGTGGAGAAGACAGTAAATTAGACTTTCGTACTTTTTCACTCAGAAGATTGACAAGAAGTAAACCTCTGACAGTCGTTATCCTCTTGCTCCTCGGCATACGCTTCTGGAAGAGACCAATTAATAAACTAACTGGGTTTGACCATGACCGACTCCGAGACTCTGGAAGCCTGTGGATAGGGATGGGCACGTAGCTGGTTAACTTTCGGCTAGCCGATACAAACGGTTAGCCGGCTTGGCATCAAATTTAGCCGGCTAATCGACTCTCGCCTGAAAATGCAATTAACCGAATGTTCGTCTGAAATAAATCTTTATTGGACAATTTTGGTCAAAGGTGGGGAAATAATCGGCCGAAATCTTAAATTCGGTCCGAGTTTACGGTTCGTTTTAGGACTAATAGAGGTGGCAATATTTATCGGCTAGCCCGCTAAATTTGAGGCTACACGGCTAGCCGTAGGCTTGGCCACGGTCAGGTCCGGCGGTTAACCGGTCCGAAAAAAAATTCCTCTGGAAGTAGAATCAGACCAGCGAGGTACCCAATTCGTGACTCAGTGTGAAAAAAATTTCTCACGAATTGGTGCAACTCAGCCCGAAACTCTGAAATTGGAACTGTGGGCTCATTTGAGTCGCGGCCCACCTCTTTCCCTTCGCCGTCGCTCCCCAGACGCAAATCCCATCGGCCACGTAGGGTCCGGACCGATGGTTAACCTGTTAACCGTGGGGACCGGTTAAAACATCGGTTAACCGATCGGGACCAATCCTGGGCCGGTTAACTGGTCCACATATTTTCCGGACTGGTTAACCGGAACGTGGCCAAACCTAGCGAGCCGTGCCCATCCCTACCTGTGGACGGTAGGTACACCAAAGTCAACCATTCATCATCTCCAAACCAGTGGAGATGGAAAGTGGAAAGCCAGCTGGAGTGAAGTACAACGTCAGCCCGGAGAGCATACGGTCAGGGTTGATCTAGCCAAAAGTCCAACAAAAACTACACGTGGTAAGTTATTCTCCGTAATTTGCTACTCTCTGATTCGCTTCTGTCGTAAGGTCTCAGCTTGATTTGCAGTTATCATTGCTGTCCTGCAAGTGGTGCAAGTGACGTGGGGTAACTTGATTTCTCACTATACCGGCTGGTGAATTGGAAACCACATTTATTCACGTAGATACTCAGACGTCTATCAGAGGAGTGCCATTAAGCGTTAGACTTCATGCATACTGGACGCACACCATTCATTGCAAGAGCAGATTGCGACTAGAAATCCACTTCCGCACCAGATTCTGCGATTTCCACTGCACAGGAATTAACCCTCGTCTGCTTGAAATGCAGAAAGATGGTGAGGGTTTTCCTTCTGCAGCTGTTCGGATGCGGGCTTTTTGCAGATTCTGGAGTTATTGGTAAACATATTGTCAACTAGTTCGACTGCTCTCGAAGTAACAGGAGTAGCACAGACTAGGTGCTTGTACTTATGCTTATGTCTTCGGTGTGCACAGAAGAAGAAGAGGACTCGAGGTGGCCGCATAATGTAGCAATTAAATCGGGAAGGAGAGAATTCCACGCAATCAGAACAGAAGAAAGGACGATGCTGGTGAAACTGTCAACGATGGAGAGAAGTGGCAAGATAATAGAATTGCTTGCTTTGACGTAACAATACAAAAAGTAGAGATCGCACTACAAGAATACACTAGCATCGAAAGATTTTCTCATGTGCATGAAAGTCAGGGTTCGCTTGAGGTGATTCCTGTATATAAATTCTTGAGACACGTAAGAACTTTCTCATGGCGAGATAATGTATTGTTAATTGATCCTTTTGGGCTTGAGATGAGGATGTGAAGAAAATGTATTGTCCATTGACCCTTTTGGGTTTGAGACGAGGATGTGAAGATCGCTGTACATAATGACGCTATCGAGTTTGCACGGAGAGAACAAAAGCTCTGTCGTCTCCATCATAAGAGCTGAAGCGAGCCAGCCGAATGCCAGGATCAATGACTTGAAGCATGGACGGAGCTGACAACACAAAATACACCAAACCATCCGCAACAAAGAAGCCACAGAGTAAGAACATCCAACCAAATCTTCATACAAACACCAAGATTGTGTCACCTCAAGTCAGCAGTTAAAGCTGATGGTTAGACATCAAAACTCAGCCGGTGAAGAAATCATTTATTACCTAAGAATTTCACCCATCTTTATGAGATAGGAAAGTAAGATCCATCAGTAACGTGATTTCGTGGAATCTGCTTGATCTCAGTTAGACATTATATTCTCTGTCTTATAGACTTGGCATCTAGAGTTTTCCAGTTATCACTTTGTCCCTTCAGCAGCCGACAGAAGCTTAGGGGATCTGAGCACACACACCGGTTCACAGAAGAAAGCAGGGAAGACTTGCTTTTGATAAGCTGACTATTGAAATGGGCTCCACTTCCACTGAGATGCCCACGAAGAACAATGTGGACCGCAATTCTGGAATCTCATTGAACCTGGTGTACTAGTAAGTTCTCCAGTCATTGAGGTGAATAACTTCGTGCCTGCTGACGTACTAGAGCGCGTTGAAATCTAAGAAGTACTCAAAACGAAATCCCGATCTATTGCGTGTCTGATTCTCGCCCGACGACTCGCCCAACCAGGTAGGAAGAAGCAAGGAAGCCCATCGGGTTTATGTGTGATTGTGAAGCCTCTGGAAAAGTTTCACCTTGGCTCTCGTGGCAGCTCGTGCTCTCTTTCTGCTCATTGAAGTCGACAGCTTTAGGGAAGTGACACGTAGTAAAGTGCCTCCAGCGTTGCCTTTCATGGCAGCACACATTTGCATGTGAGGGTGAGCTGGAGCCCGATCGGAGTTCATATATATCAAATATTTGAGTTTCCATGTAAGTTCGTGTTATTCTTTAAGGCTTTGAACGATATCTTCATCTGAAGTCATGAATCAATGTTATCTACGACTTAGCACATGAAGTATTTTTCAAGTCATGTATACAACACAGTTTTTATTCGATACATTTATAGTTAAGAATAGTTATAGAGTTATAGTCAAGAATAGAGTCACTAGAATCTCGAGGGTGCTGTACGGAAAACTAGTAGCTCGATGTCACCTTGACACATGTGTCGAAATTAAATTTTATAGAACTCAGCAGCGTCATAGCGCTGTCATTATTCCCACATAGTGAAAAATGTTTTCCTCACACCCGGACACTGCATTCCAGAAGAACAAAAATCAAGACGGCCGTCAGTTATGATGTAGAGTTTGGAGATGTTACGTGGTTCATAGCATTTTAATTAATCACCCACAATATCAAACTTGTGCTAATGTACGCGATTACGAATGATTTTTACTATTCCCTTATCCCAGCAGCTTGATAATACTCACACGTTGAGAGGAGAGGCTTCTTCATGATTGATTGGGAAGCAACCTCATAAGCGTTCATCCTCTTGAAGAATGGTGCTACTCTGTCGCACCAACCCCCTTACAATTAATGCTCAGTTTCATTTTCATAATGTGGTTGGCATTTCTTGCTTTCGGACTGATAAATCATGAAAGAGTATATACCGGTTTCTGAGTTCAACGTTACTCCAGTAGGCACCAGGTGCAATGAAAAGAAGTCGGTTCCTGATTCTGATAGACTCTTTAGTCATTGTCATGAGCTTTGCACTTTTCAAATAAGGTCCCACAAAAAAATATCAAAAGTATCCAGCCCACCATCTTTACTTTCTTCTGTGGAGTGAAGTGGTTTAAGTTCAATACAAGCCGGAACTGAGAAATAATATACTAAAGTATTGTCAGAAAAATCTGAAAATATCTAAGATATATTTCAATGTGTGGACCACTGAGTGGTCCACGCACTGAAAAATATGGAATAATATCCTGCATTTTTTGGAACCGGTTAGATTACGAGTAATACCAACGAAGAGCGCTGGTGTCATCAAAGTTACTTTTAAATATTTTTTATGTATACGTTAAAGTGAGCAAAAGTTATTTCTAGCAAACTATATCATGAGAGCATCAACGGACCAACTGTAACATTTCAATTAAAAAATTTACAAGTACATCAATAGATATATGTCAAATCTAAAAATTATGAGCCGTAACTATAGTGAGAATACACCAAACAAAAACCAAATAATAAGGGAGGAAAAAAAAGAAGATAATTACTTGTAAAGTAAATTGATACCAGAGCTGTTTGTGATACTCTCATGAAACATATTTTAGTCTAATATTTGGCTGCATTCCAACCTGAATGAAAGATGAACCAAGCATTAAGTCATTATTTAAAATTTTCAAATGACTTTTTTTATCAACATTTCATTTCTTCAGGATTAGTTCAACTTTAATTAAAAACGCCTTAGGAGTGTTGGTGTGTGTAGGTATGTTGATATTAAAGAGATTACTTACTATGTTCCAAGCACCTACTTGTTTTAACTTGGTAATAAAGTCGTAAGCCTCCACAGTTTAGTCTCATTAGTGAAATTGTACTATTTGAATATAGTTAACTTAAATACTTGCATCTAAATAAAACATTCCATCACTCAAAGCGCCAAAAAAAAAATTTTAAAAATGGAAACAGCCAAAATAAAAACTCAAGATCTTTAAGACAATTAAGATTTCTTATGAGAAATGTAATGCTGTCACTTTTGTTAAAAAAGGTATTGTTTGAAACAAAGTTTAATAGATTTATTATGAATTAGAATTTGGAGATTGATGATTATACTAGACATCTAGTAGAGAATTATTTCTTTAAAATTTATAATTTTGTAACAAAAATCCAGGTGAATGTGCTTTACACAAAAAAGAGAAAACTGAAAACATGAATTAACACGTTTGTGTCTGAACAACTTTATCGGATCACTAATGTGCTTTAATTTTCTCATTTGATTTATAATATGAGCAAACGAGTGCAAAAATTACAGTATGACTTGTTTCATTTTGGTTAATATATCAAATTTTTGAGTTTCCATGTATGCTTGTCTCCTCCTTTAGACGTTAAACGAGATCTTCATCTCTAGTCATGACTTAGTGTTATCTAAGTTTTAGCATATGAGGTATTTTTCATCTCATGTATACAACACAGTTTTTCTTCACTTGCAAGCAAGTTCCAAAAATTTTATTTCTTGAGAGGTATTGACCTTGACATTAGCATGTGTCAAGCTGGTCCTATGGTGTTTTACACGAAGTTATAAACAAGAAGGAGTGCTCGTAGTACAGACGACATCTAGTTTCAGTTTAATGTTTGAGGTCCAAAGACCTCCAGACTCTGGTATTAGAACTGTGCATGCGCTCACATGCTTGATGGCTGAGGTAGAAGTACAATCATACCAGCAATTCAGAACCTCGAGTATTCTTTTACTCTGTACACAGTTCTTCGATATTATGTTTAGTAAACTCCCAAAAAGTTGATCAATTTGTTTTGAACCTACGAGTTGTGTAGAGTAGTGTAGCCTACTGTACCGATCTTCAAAGCAAGAAAAAAGCACAACAGCCTTTTGAGACCATGAGTTGACTACCCATGTGCCTCTCAGTTGTAAGACTACATCCACTTGCTTGAATAGGTCAGAGATTCCAGAAAGAAGGATCCAATGAAGATGACGATTGAAATCTCTGTTGCTGCGTGACGACATCGAGTTTATCAGAACACTGATGCATTCACTCAATTCTACTGTTCGCTGGCACAACCAAGTCAAGAGTTACTCTGACCGTCTAAGAACATTTTCCAATCACACTGAGTATGCAGGAACACGCTTGTTGTGTTCGTACTTGTCGTTACTTCGATCACCAACACGATTCAGTGAGCAGATCTGATGATTAAGCTGCATAATTTTTCTACGTGCTACCCATCGTAGGGTATGTCTTCCCGTGGGTCTTGATGCAGCTAGAATCGCATTCTCCCAATCAAATTGCACATGGAAGTTTACACAGAGTACTTCACATCTGAGCTTCAATATTTTCCATAAAATTTTTCGTCCACATTGCACTATCTTTGCTACGAACCAGTCTTTGGAATTTGAGATTCACTTGTATACTTGTGCACTCAGTTCTGACACCCGTGCACATCAAACAACTCTCTTCGTTCGAGTACACAATAGGTTTAAGTTCACGAGAGATGTAAGGTCCTGTTTGTAAAAGCTTTACGATTTCCTTTGGAACCATAATACTAGTTCTGTGCCTTCATTTTGATTCAAATAGTTTGTCATGCCCTGCACTGGATTCGAGCAGCCTCCTGCTTCGAATTGCAAAATCTTCCTGCTTTCATGGTGATTTCTCTTGATCCGATTTTGTGCAGAGGTTGAATTAATCTTTGTGTCGCTTCTCATGCAGAGTGCAAGAAGTCTTATTCCCAGCAAGCACACGAACTGTGACACTGCGACGGGAAGTGAAGTTTTCTTCGGGATAGCTTCAGGATTGAGAAGAGGGTCTCTTGTACGCCCGCTTTACATCTCACCCGCGCATCCAAACAGCAAAAGTTTTTTTTTTCTGGAAGAGTGGAGGAGAGAATGGAAGGTGCAGGCGCGTCCAATGTAAGTCACGCTGCTCAGACACGGGGAATGGACTCTGCAGACGAGGAACCGGAGCTTCCCTCCGCGATCCAGGACCTTATACGGCGTCTGGAAGACAAAGGCGAGCCTATAAGGTGGCTTCCCAAATTAAGCGGGCCAGAATTTCGAGATTTCTTTTCGGACCGTGCACGGACGATCACAGGATGGCGAAGCCAAGTGCGACTTCGAATACTGGAGGCAATCGGAAACTGCAATACCTTCGAGGATCTGGAGGTGAAAAGTTTTTGTGGCGAAGAGATATCCGCGTTCACCGCTAGCGAGTGGGAGTTGATTTTGAGAGGATTCAGGTATAGCACCGTTCTTAGAGTGATAAACGTGGATAATTTGAAATGGAGTTCAGATGCGGAAGTGGAGAGCTTGTGTTCACAGCTGGGAAGAATTCTGAATTCCTCTAGTGTAACACATTTGACAATAGACAATTGCAGATTGAGTGCAAGATGTTTCTTGAATCTCGCTTCAGGACTGCGAGAACATGCTGATTCTAAACTCCAGTCTTTAGATTTATATGAAGCGTGGGAGGACTCGAGTGCGGTGAAGCATGTGGCTGACATGATCAACTGTGCTACTCGATTAGAAACGATGAGTTTAGGCTATAAACACGACATGGAAGAGGAGACCGTTGGAATCCTGTCCCAGGCGTTGATCCAGAGTTCATCTTTGAAAGAATTGTACTTAGATAATGTGAAGTGGGGAGCGACCTTGTTGCTGAAAGCTTTGGCCGGAGATGATGGCAACCGATCCATTAACCGTCTTTGGCTGAAGCGTATGGATAGACTCGGAGGCTGTTTAAGGGAACTTCTAACTTCCAACCCATCGTTGAAGGAAGTGACGTTGGATAACTTGCGGATGAGTCCTGAGGAATGGCGCCAGCTCGGCGAATTCATACGTGGCAGGGCTACAGCAACAACTATCTGTGTAAATTGTTCATTAGACGAAAATGATACAATTGACTGGAAGTCCATAGAAGCTCTTGCGAGTGCGGCTAGCTCCGATGTCAAGGACCCCACAGTGAAGCTTCGTCTCTCAATTTCGTGGGACCATCAGTTGATGTTATCAATGAACCTATTAGGTAGGGTACTGCGCGGAGAAATCAATTCTCTAAAATCTTTCAGTCTATCAACCAACGAAGAGAGTCTTATCAACCAAGGCTTTTTACGTTTCAACCAAGAAACACCGGAAAGTATCCTCTGGATGAATGGAAAAACTGGAGAGACTTCAGCCCTGAAGGAACTCAAATTATATGTAGGAGACATGTTTTTTTGGAAGTATGGAAGGAAGGGAGGATGGATGGACCTGCTTTGTTGCTTGCGAGGGAACACAAGTCTCACTCACTTGGATTTGTCTAACAATGCACTAGACGAAAAGGAGTTCAGAGACCTGATGGGGCTACTCCAAGTTAACTTGACTCTCCAGGAGATAGATGTCTCAAACACCTCATGGACAAGGGACGGAAAGGAGGCTCTGATTCAAGAGGCCCTAAAACAAAACCAGAAGCGGGCCACCTACATGACGGTGTTTCGGGAAGCCAAATTAACATTTGGAGATGCAAAAGCTGGTAGACTCTTTTTATGCGGCTTTCCCAAAGCAGGTAAAGTGCTCTGTCAGTTCTCAAATGTTTTCTCTATGTATGCGAACTAGCAATCTAAGGGTTTAGCTCTCGGAACTTAGGATGATAGCCACAAAGTTTATTTTTTATCTCTAGATGTATTTGCAATTGTGTACATTTTTATAAAAAAAAACAAGAAAATTAATTTTTTAAATCAATTTGAATTATGACTTGTGTTTTTTTTTTTAATATCCCATTTTGATTTGAATTATGATTTGTGTTTTTTTTTAAATTTCCCATTTTGTTTGAAATTCAGAATTTTTATAATTGTGTTCTATCTCAGACTATAACTGCTCGATTTATTTCTGAGTCTGCTCTAAGGTTTCTTTGTTCTTCTGTTTATCTACACAATATGTACAAATATGTCAACTAACAAGTTGTTTTTGTTGTGATGCTCTTTATTCAATTTATCAGGCAAGACTAAACTCTGTCAAACCTTGATGAGGATAGTTCAAGGCAAAAGTTGGTTTGGGAACAAATACCATGAGTTGTGGAGAACGAGAGGCATTGAAGTGGAGCTCTTGCAAAACAATGACAAAGGGCATATCTCAATCTGGGATCTTGCAGGACAAGGAATTTTTCGTACCCTTCAAAATGTGCTATTCCCTCAAACCAGCAATTTTTGTGTTTTTTTATTTGTATATAGTCCCTTCTGTAAAGAAACATCTTCAAACAAACCAGAATCTTGTTTCCAAACAGAGTTGGAGGAGTGGTTGAGTTTCATCACATCCAGCACTAGAGTTACAGGACATAATCGTCCACAAGTTCTTGTTGTGATTTCACACAAAGATAAAGCCAAATCCAACTCTTTGACTTGGGCTGACTCAATAGTAGACGAGCTCATGGAAAAATTTGCAAAATCTATCAATCTCCACTTTATTCAAGAGTGTTTTCATGTGGATGCTCGAAAGAAGAAGCAAGTTATTCCTCTCAAAAATGTGATTTTTGAGATCTTTGAAAAGTTGTGGAGTGAAAAATCTCCACGAGTTCCCCACTTATGTTCTCAACTCATCTCTCTCTTGGTTACAAACACCAAGAAGAACAAGAGTTGTCCTCTTTGGCCGTACAAAAAATTTCATGATTTTTGTGCCCCGAGCTTGACACAATTCATTTCATCTTCTTCTATTCATGTTGTTGATCATTCAAGGATCATGAAATCAATCATATCATACTTGAATGACGTTGGATCCATCGTTTACATTCCTAACCTTGATTACATCATTGTGGATCCAAATTGGCTTACCAATACATTATTGGGTGAGCTGGTAGCTCTTGGTCAAACCTTTCAAGCTCAAGAGTTTGAATCTTCTCACAAACCTATGTCACATAACTTATACACAAGCAAGGACGGATTTGTGAGTGAGAGTGTCTTTGCCCGGTTGATAGACGAGTTTCTAGAAAAGCAACCATCTGATCAGAGAGGTGTGGACAGAGAGCTTCTTGAGAACATCCTTATCAATTTAGATCTGTGTTTCAAGCTAGAAGATACTTCTCAGTATTTCATTCCCTCCTTCATACCTGAGCCTGCAAGCATGGAGAAACAAAAGCATCGAGAAGTGGAGCACGTGGACTCAATGGCTTGGGAAACTAGGGGTGAGACTTCAAAGTTTCTGGGCATTCGGATACAATGCCAAGATAAAATAACAATGTCTCTGACTGCTGCTTTTTTTCCATGCTTCCAGGTGAGGTTGGATTATGATTTCATATATACTGTGAGAAGATTGAATGTGTCAAGTTCCGGTTGTAACTTCTGCAAGATGAATGGAATGTTCACTTTTCATTTGTTGAATACAATTTTTGAAAAGCGCAACTCAATATTTACCAAGTTTTGTATCATTGTAGATGTTCATGAGACGCAAGTTGATATCGGAGATGCATGTTTCCAAGGAGATGGTGACCTGCTCTCGACATTATCAGCGACTTTTTCTTGATGGACACGAGATCTACGTCGAGCAAGGAACGTCCCACAATTACGTGGATGTTCTCATGTTATGTTCGAAGCATAAATCAAGGTCGGAGGCTCTGCAATACGTGATGAAGCATATCGTCGAGGTGTTGATATCATTTTGCGCATCATCCAAAGGCTGTCCCGGGGTGGAGTTAATGCTCGGTGTGATCCAAACACGTTGTGTGGAGATGCTGATTCCGAGTCATCTTAGAGGAGCCATTCTAATTGAGGAGCTCAAATCCAAATTCATTCATAGCATCGATGACAAACTTGAGGATATTCCGTTAGATAGGTCGCACTTGGTGGAGGAAGAGTTCTTCCACTATGAGCACTCTTGGCCCTCGATTAAAGGTTACACATCGGTTATATTCGAAAGAGCTAGAGATTTATTGTGGGAGAGCGATGTGGAAGCTGTTGTGAATGGAGTCCGACAGAAGCGAATGGAACAATTGGAGTCATTGCAACAAGGCCTTATCCAACAACTGGAGTCATTGCAGCGAGGTTTAATCGAAGTGAAGAATGATTTGATTCATTCTTACCCTGAAAATGAGAACATGGCTACCGATTCGAATTTTCTTGATATGAAAGACTCCAATCAACCTTCATCCAGGTGCTCAAGTTGGGTGAGCACAAGTGTGGAAAATCGTGGAACCCAACTTCTTTTGGAAAGGATAGATGAGGTAGAAAAAAATCTAGGACAAAAGGTTGATGGTGTTGATGAAAGGCTGAGATCAGTGCAGAGCATTCTGGAGAGATTGCAGATGAAGATGGAACAGATATTCTCTCTACAGCAAGAACTGCAGTCAAAGTTAAGTGATTTCATGTCTAAAGTGGACAGGATTGTTGAGTATTCTCAAACGTTTCAGCAGTCTAGAACGCCCAAGCGACCTTACGTTACGGACGATGTTGGACTTTTCTATCGAGTAAATTCACTTCTACATGTTGGGAAAACTGTTCGATTACAATTGATGTGTGAGTCTGCGACTGGGTTTCACAGTGTGAAAGATCAAGAAGGTTTGAAGATACGCGTGGATCGATACAATAGCTCCTGGATTAGAAAAACTATTGAAATTTCATACAAAATCATGTATTATGCTGCAAAGGCTGGATTGGATATGACACTGGGGTTGGGCCAAGCGATTCCGGAGTGGGCAGATTTAAAATCTGATATTGTTGACTTAGTTGGCATTAGCAATTGTGATCGTAGTGCATTTCTAAAAGGTGGGGAAAGCATGGAGCTCAAAGAAGCATGGCTGAGGATTCAGCAAACTCTTGCGCCTATTAACTATTCGGCAATCTTCAAGTTGTATCAGGTGAAATACGTGAGACTAGAATTAGGTGGGCATGCATGGGTGTGCGAGGAGTGCATGAATAAAGGTCTTAGAACTGGCATTTTGTTAGGAAATTGAAGACCTTAGAATGTCATGATGCAAATGACAAGCATATGTTCAGACACTCTTGCAATGTGAACCTTTGCAAAATCTTCCTTGGAGTTCACACTTTTACATGTCTTTTATAAGCTATGCAATCATATCAATCTCGCAGTTATGTTTCTGAAGAAGATCATTTTTTGGCTGAACTATCATAATTACATTTTGAGGACAACGTTTCAAGTGTGGGTTTTTGCAAGTCTTACCATGATGAAATTCCTTCACTTACACCTTGGGTGGTCAGCCTTGTATTTCGATACATCTCCCAGAATGATTTTTTTGTTATTGTTCTGAATAATGAGGGTCCAACAACTGTAGAATGGACAGGATGTGCTGGCGTCGGCTTTCCACACCTGGCCTTCGTAACAGTCGTTGGGCACTCAGGCTCTTCAAGAGACGAATAAGGACGTGCAAACCTTGTGGGTCAAATAATTTAACTGTGATGGGAGAGACAAGGTAGTGTTGAGTTGAGCCTGATTCAAGGTTTGTGACAAAGAGGATCAAGAATTGAGATTTCGAATCACTTCTTAGATAAGTGACTGCAGCTAGCTACATTTGTCATGTTACGTCTGTCATCTATGCTGAATTTCGTCTGAACAGGGTGGTCGGAACAAATAGATTGAGCAAATAGATTGTTTGTCATGTTACGTCTGTCATCTATGCTGAATTTCGTCTGAATAGGGTGGTCGGAACAAATAGATTGAGCAAATAGATTGTTATTTCTTCAACTGCTGTCAGGAGCAATTTTATAGCAGCTTGATTGTCTGCTGTGAATTTTATAAGCAAGGGAGTTGATTCCGAAGAGAATGATCTTGAGGGTACAGAGGTAAATTTCTTACATGTGCTAACGCTGAATTCAGGTGCGAAAAAGTCTTCCGTAAAACACATTTTGAGACATTCTGCTCGCTGATACTCGAAAATTCCTTTCCTTGGACTCGTCATGCCTGGCATGGTGGTGCAGATTTTCAGAAACGGCAGCAGATCTTGTTTCTGATGGCAAGATTGATGATGTGGTGAGAGGTTTGAACTAGTGAATAGTCTGTCACATAATCACCACGAACTCAGCATGCTTTTTGTGTCTTCGCGTTCATTCATTTCGGCTTTGCGAGTTGAACAAAAGCATTCAGTTCGCCATGGACTTCCAGACAGTCAAAACCCGAAAATGTGGTGAAGATTTGAGAAGGGTTTGTAGTTTCCACTATAGCACTTCCAGTAAATCTGTTCTCCAGGACTTCCCACTTCATAAAACTTCAGAACATTGCAGGAAGTCAATCATCAACATTTATTGTTCACCACTTACTGCTACAGTTCATGGACACTCATTTGCTTGTTGACAAGGGCACGGAGCTGAGAAAGTGAATATTGGCAAACATACATGTCTAACGACAGGGTGGGGTCTATTTTGCTTTCTTGGAAACCTTCCCGCTAGACAATCCCAAAAGGCACTGCAGGTAAAATTGTTATCGAAAGCTTACGTCGTGAACTTCGTGCTGGCAAATGCACAGGCAATCAGATTGGAGCAATGAAGAGTTGTGCTACAGAATTTCCTGCCTCCAATCTTTTCAAAAAATGTAGCTAAATTGGCATAGTCAATGGCGTGCCACTGTAAAATATGATCGGGTACCAAGCTTTTTGCCTGATGTACATTTTGCCTTTTGTTTTCAGGCAAGGGTAAATCTAGATAACAATTCAGACAAAAGCACTGGAAATTGATTTATAAAAGGAGTAACAAATTCACCGTTTCAGTGACTTGGCCTTATGGATTATTTGGCTATTATAGACACAGCCATGGAACGAACTGACACAGGACATGGTCCACAACTGACTGGAAAATACGTTTCATGGACAATTTGAAATTGTGGCGATCACGTGTTTTGTGAAGTTCAGATTTGAGAACGCCGAGGTCATCCGACTTGTGCAGGTGGCGCAAGGTCAACTAAGTTGCAGTACCAGCCAACTCACTTGATTCAGAAACATTCAATACGTCTACCCTGTAGTAGCTTGGTATCTTCGGGAAATTCAGTTGAGAGAAATGAAATTCATCTGAGGACATGAATTTTGAAGTTTCATGGAACTCTTGTAGAGGAGCTGTATGGCTCAACTCCAGAACTCCATCAAAGATCAGATTGGTCAGATAATATTACTGAGGGTCCTCCATTCATCCCTGTTGTTGAGTAAATGTTCGCTAGTCTTGAATTTGTCACTGGTCCAAAAAGACAGGGAGGAAATAAAAGAATGATCTGACTTCACATATAATCTTCAGTGCTGAAGACACCATTGACAACCTCTTGATATGGTGTCAAATCTGATCTGATTCAAACTGTATTTGCAGCTTGACCACCACTTTCCACTATGATTCTCGAGTAATAATCACTTCGAGACTATTATGAGTTTAGAAATCGTACTTGAGGTTCATGTCACCCACTTTGTACAGTTCACTGCCGAAGACTTTTAGACTCTTGTTCGGTTCAGACGCATTTGATCTCACAACGAAAAGTAGTTTACCTAGCCAGGTGTTGTGGAATATAAAGCTGACTCCTGCAAGAGTATAGTATGTTATCGGTACTTACACAAAATCAAAATTTTGGTGTGAATATGAATGTCATACACATGGATCCCTGAGTACCGGTTGTCTAAATTAGAGTTGATGCTCCATGTCTACTCAAATCACCTACTCAGCACTGATAGGAAACGAGGATCTGATTGATGGAATTCTGAGACAGCAGTGGCCATATGAGCACAAAATATGGCCAATTGCCATAACTCATGGATTGCAAACAGTTCTCATCAAATCATACCATCTCAAGATATATCTATCCTAGAGAGTACAGCATTATAAGAGGAAGATGATGTCTGTCAACTTCAAATGATAATGATATTGTTTAGCTCTTTGTAAACAGATCAAGATACTCATTTGTTTATAGAGAATGTTACAATGATGTAAAGTTAGGTCAACGTTTATAAAAGATGACCTATATCTCAAAAACTGGAATGTTTGAGTTGCCAAAATATTGAGGTCACTACTATATCCAATCTAGATGATCTAAGCTAAAACATTGCAAAAACGTTGCATGCGGCTATCAAATTGGAGAAGATTAAGTATGAAATGTGCTTAAAACACAAAGAAAAACTTTTTAAAGCACTATAATCTAGATTCAAACTCAAATTATTTGATTTATAGATCATAGAGTTACTTTATTCTAAAAATAAAATTCATATTAAATGAAATAAATATGATTGCCAAGAAAAATTCAGATAATATGATAATTATTTATATATATTTCTTTCTTTCGTTTTACTTTTTATTTAGTTTTCCTTTTACTAAAAAATCATTGATCAAATCTATTTCAATATAGTTTTAAGAATACTCTTTTACTTTTAATCTCAAAGATAAGGATAAAATATTTCAATTACAAAGCGTACTTAGGCAGTGGACAATGTTTTAGAAATCGCGTCATATCTTGTCTGGCTGTTAAGGCCAGAAATTTGTTTTTTACGCGCACGAAGGCGTAAGCAGAGGGGAGTGTATACTGTGCCGTTTGATTTAAAGTGCCATCTTAACTCTCATATGGATTTTCATTATTTGAATATATAAAAAAACATTAAACAAAACACTGTCAAAAATCAGAAATAAATTTACTTTTACCTCATCTTGAATATTATCTTCCAAAATCTCATTGATTCCCATATTAATTTTTCAGAATAATAAAATATTTAGAAAATTTTAGAAATTTAGATAACCTTTTGGGATTATTTTTAAGTAAATTCCATTTTAATTTATCACATTGAATAAAAAAAATTAATGTTAAAGAATAAATTCAAAAGAGAAAATAAATTATGATTACAATCATGAAAATCCCCAATTACAAGAAATATGAAACAAAAGTATCAAATCATAATATAAGTTTTTCAAATAAGATTACTTGTACAAAAATATCTCAAAATCGAACCGCAAAACAATAAAAAATGCAAATTCAGTAGAAGATATAGCATAAGAGATGACTCAAAGTTCCAAGTGCCTATTGCCTATTGCGTGAATCGCCGCAAGTGAAGTCTCAAGTCTTGACAATTGGCTGATGGGATAGCTAATGCTGAAAGAGTCAGTCCATTTCTCTGAGTTTACTCGAGGAGCCGAAAGTTGTTTTGAGTTTCGAGCTTCTTAAGAGAAATGGATTGGCCTCATTTTTTACTGCCTGGCTGAATTTTACCCTATAGAATGTGATACTTTCTCTGCCGCCAGGTATATAGCCTCCTGTGTGATGGACTACAATGGTTGCTGGAAATTTAAATCATTAGAGACGCTCTTAATTGGTGGTCTCCATACTAGCTTTTTTTTGTTATGTTGCCAAATAGATGATCTCTTGCTATGTTTATGTTTATAAAAATCGGGTCAAAATAGTGATCCAATTGTTATCGGTATATATTTTTTTGATATGTATAATATTTCAAAAAAATGCTCTAATTGATCCAAGGTTTTAATTTTAATTAAAATTGAAGTTCAAACAAAGATTCATCGGATATTTTTCAATCAGAATAAATTTTTTCTTAGACCAAAAATTTTCCATCAATCAGGATTTAGATTTGTTTTCTTCTAAAATCAAACAAAATCACTTAAATTTAACAATAATATTTTTTACCATTTTTCTAAAAGGAAAAAAAATTTCATTATCAATTGTTGTTTCTAAAAAGTTAAAAAAAACGTTAAACACTTTTATCTTTTTTTCAAGAAATTTATTTTTTGAGTTTCAAAGTTGAGAAATCAAAGTTTTGTTGTTCAACAATACTGTTATTAATTACCCTGAACAAAAATTTATTTTGTAATGATGTAACAACTATATTGAGATATAATCAAATACACCAATACACGTTATCACTTTATCTACAAATAACGTGTAAAAGCTTAAAAAATTGATAAAAACGTTTTAGATATCTACTTCTTTAATTTTTATATATAATAAATTATTATTTTAAATCATTTTTTTTCAAGCAAAAAACAATAATCTCTTATTAGAATTTAATTCAAAATCTTGTAAAAAGTTAAGATAAGTAAAAAAAAAAATTTGAATACTTGCCTAGTTTCTACAAGATTAAATAAAATTTCTTTATCTTTATACTTTTAAATTGAAAGATATTCTTTAAGATTTCAATAAAAAAAATTATTTCAGAAATAAATAACTTCACAAGAAAAAAAATTGATTTTTTATAATCAAACAAAAAATATATTTTTTAAATTTCCAATAATAATATAAGGGTTAAAAAAAGTTATAGGTTTTTGTTAAATTTTTAAAATTGAAAAGAAGGAAAAAAATTTAAAATTTTTTGAATTTTTTGAAAATTTAATTTTTGTTTTGATACATCAAAAATAACTGTTAATATACTGAAATATTTTAAATTGAATACTTATTTTTTATTTTCAGTAATTTTATTTTCTTCATTCTTAGAAATAACTCTATTAGTTGAAATATCTTTCCAAGTTATTACTTTCTTGCTTAAAAGTAATAAATTATTTGCATTGTAAAAAACCTTTACGTTTATATTTAAATTAAATTTACATTTTTTTTCTTTTCATAATAATTTTCTCTAATTTGAAACAAAAAAATCATTTAAAACAAAAACTTAGTATATTTTAGATAAAAGAGTTTGCAAGAAAATTAATAATGAAATATCTTGAATATGACTAAAGATTCTAATTAGAATTTCAAGGTGAAAAAAGTAACGTATTTGAATATCAAAAAATAATCTAAATTATAAATCCTGATATATATATATATATATATATATATATATATATATATATATAATGAATATACTGATAACTCTTTATTATTAATTTTTAGATTTTTTTTATTAAATGTAAAATTTTTTATCATAAAGAATAACTATAACTTCTTTCGTATTTACAAAAAAAAATTGTTAGAAAAGATAAATAAAAAATCAAAGTGATGTATTTTTTTAATAAGGCTTTTTATATTCCGAAAATTATAATGAGTATTTAAATCCAAAAAAATTATTTTTTTTTGAATGATTATATGCAATTCTACAAAAAATAAATTTCTGAAAAAAATAAATAAATATTGTTTATTCCAACAAAAATTTCAAAAGTAGGCCAAACAAAAATTACAGTCCTCATTTCATTATTTTGTAAAATATAAAAGAATAAAGACATAGTACAATCTTTTAAACAAGATATAAAATTTTTTGAATTGATTATTTTTTTGACTTAATAAATATATAAATCAGCATGTTGTTTAATTTTAGACACATTTCAAGAAGTGTTAAGAATTCATTCTTGGTAAAAAACCTAAAAGAAAATAATAGGAATTTTTCTCATATACTGGCTGTCTAAATTTTTTTAATATTTTTTAATTGAATAGGTAGAATATTTCAAAAATTTGGAAAAGAAGCTGGTGTTTCTTTTACCTATAATTCAAGCAATCTAGCTTTATCCATTCATTTCAATTGACTAATTCTGTTTTTCATTGAAATTTTATTTAATTAAAAAAATAAAATTTAACTGCAGGTTATTTTTTCTGTAAAGTTTATTTTTTAAGATTAGTCTTAGTTTTACAAAACTTGTCTGGGTGAATTTTTCATTTCACATAAATGTGTAAAAATCCAAGTCGCATTTAAAAGCCCATCATTCTAACAATGAGTTAGCAACCCTAAATAAGTAATGAATTTTAAAAAGGATTAAAAAATTTAAAACATCAACCCAATTATATGTATGTGGATTAGTAATGTAGATTCTATTTTAATTAGATTCAAGTTAAAAGATTTACTTTGATTTTTTATCCTTTTTTTGAAAATGGGAAAAAAAATAAAAATTTACATTTTTTATTTTTGGAATAAATGAAATAAATTATTATGTAAGAATGATAAAAAATGGATAAAGAAAAAAAAATTGTACAAAATTAAAAGATGAGTTCTTAAAACTCTCCTTAAGTTTCGTAATATATTGAAAGTGTATAACCTTTTGATTCAAAAGTTTATGCATTTTCAATTTTGAAAGTATAAAATGCTTGCAGCGCCGACGTAAATAAAACAAAAATATTACGTTGAATCTTATATCTGTTATGTTATTACCACCAAAGGTATGAATAGCTATTAGGCGGATGAGTGTTGAAATGCCTTTAATAAAGCAGCTCGTTTTTGTGCTGGTCGGTGCAGAGTAGTTTGCAGCATGTGACAGTCGGCAGGGGTATTTAGCATTCTTGTGTCTCTGGATGTCGAGAGACGATGGCGACGATTGCGATCGCCGCGATTGAAACAGGAATTTTGACGTGCCATCGAGTAGAAGTTGGAGCTCGAGTAGAAGTTGCAGCTCTCAGCAGATATTCTCGATGTTATCGGGCACGATGGAGCTTTGCCTCCAGTTCCTGGAAGATTCGAGGATCTAGGGGGGAAGATGATCGCCCATCACCGATGGAAATTTGGCCGGGAGTTTCATCGCCGGTGGACTTCGAGTTTGGCTTTCAAGTTCCACAAGAGTGTGTTTCCAGCTCGCCACCTCCTTTTCTAAATTCTTAGCGTTGAGAATGAGTCGAGGTACATTCGACGCAGGCTTTGACATGGAGTACACTTATGTTTCTTCAAAATGATTCATGGGATCGTGAAGCTGACTCGGATTCACCCGGAACTGCAGGGAGACATCGAATTTGGATGAATTTGAGAGCATTGCCGGCTTTAGTGGAATAGAAGGTCGGGGTTGTAGTGTGATTTAGGGTTCGAATGCCGAAATTTTCTTTGGTGGACATGACGATTGTCTTCACGTCATCGCATATTTGTGTTCGCTCATAGTACTGTATTTGACTGAGTGCACTCCCAGTTTTACTTTGTTAAACCAGATCCCCTGGGTGGAAATTGTCACACTTGACCTCGAACTACTCTTTTGTGCCTGTTTTCAGATTCTATTTTGCAAACCTACATGGGCGATGTGGATATGCTGGAAGAAGAAGAACCGTTGTCTAAGTTCGTGCCGCCTCCACAAATCCCTTTGGAAGGTGCAGATTGAGAAGTATAAGTTGTGACTATTTACGTACCGACCGCTGTTGCCTTTTGCCTGTTTACAATACTTACAAACAATCTTTTCAAGCCAAAGTTTAATTTGAGCGCAGATGTTGAAATTAGAAACAGAGTTGAGGAGGTGATGTACACCTTGCTGGACTATCTACCAGGACCAATGGCGGTCCTTCTAGATGACCAGAGAAAGTGGGATGCAGTTGTTAAGATGTTTAGTGAATCAGTCGAGATTCAAGACCCCCTTCTGTGTTTGAAGGGAGTACAAAGGTATGTTCACACTGTGCCCTCTCATTATGTGCAGGTTCTCTACTGGAAATATGCATGCACTTCTTTTACCCAAGACTTTTGTAGCTCCAATTTCTCACTCGTGAACCGTGATTTGCAGCTTTAAGACTTTTCTGAGAGTTCTCTGCGAGTCCGGCATCAACATAGACCTGCACGAGGTTTACTACGAGAATCTTGCTGCTGACAGATGTAAGTTGGATGGACATATTGTAAAGGGTATCAGGCCTATAGACGTGTCTCGGATTTCTACAGTTACCGGGTGTCTGGCTGAAAGTTTTCACTTTTCCTTCATTTTGTCGCATTAGGATTGAAGTTGTACTGCTGGTTCATGCTTATCCCGCACCTTCAGACTTCTCGATGTGACACGAGACCGTCTGCAAGAGGCTCTCGAATCTCGTGCAGATAACACTCACTCTGACAAAGGCTCTACAGCTTGAAGCTCACCGTCTTGACTGTGGCTGCGGAGAAAGAATAGAACGACAGGCTGTTGAATGTCCAGAAAACTGTGCACATCCACGAGCAAGGTCTTCTGGACGTTCAAGAGCTTGTCCTTCTACTCAGTAAACGATTTAGCCATGCGAGTCGATATGCAAGTCAGATCAAATCTCCTCCAGGATCTGCGTGCGCAACTGAGAGGCACTGGAGCAGAGGCAGTTGACTTCAAGCTCCTCCAACAAACGGTGCATCAGATCTGTTGACAGCATCTTAAATTGGCAATGTGGTGCAGCCAAGCGATGGGTATATGCTGTATGGACTGCAACTCTGACAAACAACTTGGAAGAGAGTGTAGAGAACTTAAACATGAAGGAGTGGTGGAGCAGTGCTTTTGGTTCACTTCTGGAGCATCTTGCTCAACGTCAAGATGGAGTGCAAAATGCACTTGCAGGTATCGTCTCGTTTTAAATATTGGAAAGAGAATGTTATCACTCACTGTCCCTTTAGATCTTTTGAGTTCCAAGTCATCCAAGTCTTATTCCTTTTTTTGATGTATCGGAAGGGGATGAGTTATTCAGAACGACAACAATCGTGGATGGCGAGGAAAAGCATTTTAAGAGGTTTCAGCGGCTTAATGTACTCAAGTTATCGGGGGAATCTAAGTTTGAAGTCAATCAAGCCGGCCTGGTATGCTTCTTCAAACAAGTTCCGACTCAACTGAGCGCTAAGTTTGTGTGAAGCAGATAATGTGGTTACTTTTACTGCATGTCGATTGATGAGGAGATTACGATGATTTTCTATCTTAACGTATTTTTCCCCTTTACGATCATCGCTTGCTCCAAAACTCTCATCTCAGTGCTTTATCATCAAAACAATGGACGTGGGCTCAAGTTTGTAAGAGATAAGTTCAGTTATTATGATCTGAATGAATTTCATTGAAAGTTTTATCGAATTTTACATCGCAGGTGACGGGTGTACGTTCGAGGTGGTATAAACTGAGAGAACAAGATGCAATGGAGTTTTCCGCATCAAAGCTGTGGCTTACTGGTCTATTTTCTAGAGGAATGTAGCCGTATTTGACGCTTAGACCTCTTCGCATTCGATTCGTTACTTTCCATCTAATACCTATGTGCGGTACAGTGCAGAACGTTACCTCGATGTTGTCAGTATTTTTTTACGTCTAGGTGATGGTTAATTCTCACAACTGACAATACTGGTACTGTCAGTTGTGAGAATAAACCATCACCTAGTTCTTCGAGGAAGTACGTAGTTTATATTTCCGTTTGGATCACTTCCCATTTCGTTATTTTGTGATACAGATTCGGTGTTAAATGCGTCGACGATGAGAGAGAGTAGTATAATCGAGCATTATTCCTGGCAATATCATCGAGCTGTGAGCTCGTTGAGCGTGTTTATTCATGTTGTTCGCAAGTATATTTCAAGCGAGAAAACTAAAATATAACTTTTTAGAAGACAGGCCAATGTTGCAGATGAAGGGAAACGTAGTAGTGAGTGATGACGACCGAATTCTAACTTAGTTATGTAGAAGACGGTGCGGAAGGTTCAAACTGGATGGTTCTTGTACAAAACTCAGTGTGTCAGGCAGGATCAGTTCGGTGGGCGAGATTTTTAGGAACACATTCAAATGGAAATTGTGTGAACCTCAAAGACCATGGTCGCGCTCTTTGGGGTTCATACATTTAATATTCAATCTACATGCATGGTATAACCTTAACTGTGTTTATGGTCTACAAATAAAGCAAACATGATGATGAAATCTGGCAAGATTTCCTCATCAAGCCACTGGGCATCTGGCAAGATGCCCAGTGGCTTCAAGTTTCCATTTGTAGCCGAAGGAAAAATATTTAACACCTGATGATTAAATTCTTGTCAAAAGAATGGAAATTGGTTGAAATTAATGGACCAGTGAGAAGCCAAGTGTAAGATGGCTCAGTTTTAATTTTTAGGGGAAGGAAACTTCTTTTCCATCTGATGATCGAGAATGGTGGAGGATAATCGACTCGTAGTGAGTGAAGCCAGGTGGTGAGTATACGATCCACTTCAAGTAACTATGGTGGTGCCCGTCCGACGAAGGTTTAATACTTAACAATAATTTAAGTGTTTTGTATATGGATTGAACTACATGAGAGTTGTTGAGTTTTCTGTATACGAGGAAGAACTACTCGTCTATCTGTATGGAGGAAATGACGAGAAAACAACTCACCAAACTCCATCTCCTCATACATACTACCCAGGTCGATGATCAGTAGCACCAAGACAGAAGACCTATGTTATGAATGCATCATGAAAGGTATTCCATAAAAGGTAAAGACTCGATTCAAAGTTTCCAAATTGGAATGATACATAGAAAAGTGATTCTTATGTTACATCACTTTTTTGACATCAACAAACAAGAATTTTGAAGCATCTTGCCTCCATCTAATCATGTGACTTTAGTCTGATTAAATATCTGCTGAACATAACTTCCCATCAAACTTCATACCCTTTGTATCTCCATAATCTCATTCTTTAGTCCATATTAACAAATCCATTCATATCCACATCCATTCTACTTATCGGTATTTAAAATTCATATCAATCTCTGGTGTTGAATGGCTATTGATAATACAAGGGAAAGTCCTGAAGTCAATAGCCTTTCAACAATAAAGATTAAAACGGATGTGGTCATTTCACATCTTCATTAGTTCTAGAAATCAAAACTGGACATTCCAATGCTGTTTGTGGTAATGAATGCAAGGTGGTAGAAGCAACATGAATACTTACAAAGGTTTAGGATTTATACTTTTGAAGATGCGTCTTTTTGACATCAGATGAAGGATACATTCAGAAGATACTATTTGAGAATCATTAATGGGGAATGTTACTCATGTTACAACAAAAGTATATTCGAAAGAGTTAGATAGCCATCGTGAACACGCATCTTACGTAGAAAGAAATAAAGATGAAACTACTGCAGGAGCAGCAATCTAACACCATCAGGCACTGCATCACAAATGTAGAGGAATATGGACATCATTATGAAGTTTAATTTTTAGAACGGACTAACATATGTCTTTCAAAATATGTGTCAAAAATGTTACATTGAACGCAACATTTACGCTGAATAAATATATCTACAGACGTCACATTGTAATTCTTAAAGTACATCTGCTTTTACGCCTAGGTTACACGTTCTCACTATGATGTGAAACTCATTCTCAATGCAGGGGCAGGAGTACCACTTCTCTGACTTCCTATAATATTACTGCATGAAACTACACATGTCAAAACAGTCCCGTCAGCAACATGCCAGATGTTTCGATCAGAAAGTTACAAGTCCAAGACCTGTGCCTCGAGCCCATCCTGTTAAGGCATGGTGCGCGAGAGCCATGTCTGAGCTTGTCCTGTATTTTTGTGCAAGCACTGGTGGAAATGCATGCATGGCACGTAGCATGTTCGTTGCTCGTTTGTCAAGCATCTAATGACTTACGCAAACAAGTGAAAGCGAAGTCGCCACCTATCGACAGTCCTGGTTCACGGCATGATGAACATTTGCTACGGTATTATGACATTTTCGTCATATGGAGCGAGTAGAAGCAAATTTCGATATATGGATGTGGAGAGCAATTTCACATCTTCTAGGCACGATATTTAGAGAATCAGGTGCACACACATCACCACCCAATGATCCTCCGTACTTGACCTATCTTCCATCCCTGAACATGGTGACAACTGTCGTATGCTCTCATTCTGGATGAAGCTATTGCTATTGATAAGAAGAACTTCTCAAGTTTGCTAGCAATAGCCGATGTAAGAATTGAAAGCAAAGGATCACATGTCTCTGTGGAGGCCAAGGAGAATTATCTTCTCGTTCATACCGACAGCTTTTGATAATATATTTTGCCCATCGGTCTGACATGCTAAAGAAGCTTAGCGCGTACCCTGTTGAGAAATATCTTTCCAAAAGGCTTCGAACTAGACGGCAGTGCAAGGCTGCATGCTTCATGAATTAAGGCCGAGACTATTTGATTCATGCGTCTCCAGGTAAGATGCGTAGGTAGAAGTATGAGTCAACCAACCATCAAGTTAAAATTCTGCCTGCTGGGAAAGTAAAAACGTACCGAGGGTAAAGAAGTTTGACACTTCTATTTTCTGTCGTCTTCGACATCCACCTCATAGCAGACATGTAACCCAGATTCATGACAGCTTATCATTCAAAAAGCGAGCACTGGAACGTATAAAAGGGACTGAGTTCTCTGTAGCTGCATATACCTCTTACCAGGTAGAGAACAGTTCATGTGCTAATGTTACAAAGGAATTTTGTAGTGAAGCGAACAGAGTCGATCGATGGCTTGTGGGAAAGTGATGGAGTCTATGACCCTAGGAGTTCTGGCGGTGTTTCTACTGGCATCTACTGCTGAGGGAACCGCAGATTTTACTATCCAGGACAAAGACACACTGGCTGTTGCCTTGAATCTCGAGTACTTTGAAGCAGAATTCTTCCTCTTCGGAGCTTACGGACTGGGACTCGACCACTTTGCTGCCCATCTCGCTGATAATGGAGCAGCTCCCAAAGGTGGAGAGAAAGCTGATTTGGACCCCATCGTCAGAGAGCTCGTCGAACAGTTCGGTCTCCAGGAAGTCGGACACATCAGGCACGTGACATCATATACTACTATGCTTATCATATCATCTGATGCTACCATAAACCACAAAGAATTGAGCACTTCGATCTTCGTCCATTGTGCCATCTCGTCTTAGTTGCAGGTAGTGCAGAATCCTACAGGAATTGTAGTTTCTAACAAATAGGAAACAGGGCCTACTTTCAAAGTGCACTGCTTATGTAGGATCATATGATGGTATTCCGTTTGTTGTCTGTGTGGTTCGAGCCGATCTGTCATTATCTTGGAGAGGGTGTTGATCACTTCAGTCAAGAATAGCTTCGAAATTTTTCACGATTGGAGTAATCCATTGACAATCCCTCTGAACGTCTTGTTTGCAGAGCCATCAAGGAAGCTCTCGGAAAGGAAGCCTTCCCTCGCCCACACTTGGATTTCGGCAAGGACGTCTGGGCCAAAACTTTCGACGATGCATTCGGCTACACGCTGGATCCACCCTTCAACCCATATGCCAACAGCGTAAACTACATGCTTGCCTCCTATGCCATCCCTTACGTGGGTTTGACTGGATACACTGGAGGAGCTCCGTTGCTGCAAGGCGCAGGAGCTAAGTCGGTAAGATCACTAACATATCCCAACCGATGAAGGACGATATTACAGCCTTCTGACTAACGTGGTTCCACCACTTGAATTAAAATACATTCTCTGGCCGCTTCATAATCTTTTTCACTCAACATCATGAACAGAAGGACTTTCATTTCATTAATACTACTGCATCTTCGATTTTTCCGATCTGCTTCTGAAGGCAGGGATGTGAAGAATGTCGGCTGCTTCTCGCAAAAGCATCCATCTAAATGGGTTTGTGTGTTTTGCAGCTCGCGGCGCGGCTCTTGGCAGTTGAGGCAGGTCAGGATGCAGCAATCAGGACATGGTTGTATCTGGTGAAAGACAAGATAGTGAAGCCTTACGAGTTCACGGTGGCAGAAGCGACCGAGAAACTGTCCAAGCTCCGAAATAAGCTCGACGGATCAGATGAGGTTGATGATGAGGGACTCATCGTGCCGAAGGAACTCGGAGCAGAGGAAGCTGTGGAGGGTAATTGCCTTGCCGGTGACAAGGACTCTCTAGCTTACTCTCGAACTCCCAGGCAGATTTTCTCGGTGGTTTACGCTTCAGGAGATCCTTCAAAGCCAGGAGGTTTCTATCCGAAGGGAGGACTCGGACGCCATGCGCTCAAGTACCTTAGCACCTACGAGTCTGTAAAGCAAACTTTGAATCCTTTTCTGGACAGTGAATTGTAGATTGTTACGAGGTTTGGGGACCATTGGGTAGAGTACAGTGATGTATGCAATCTTGTAGTATAAGTTTCTGTCAACGGACGAAAACTTCTACCCGCCAATCTCTTCACAACGGATGTGAAGAAAACCTGCTGTACAGTGTTTCAGGTAACATGCAACTTCAATAAAAAGCTTCCAGGCTTAGTCCTGAGCCGACGTTCTTTCATTTAAAGTCTCATTTTTATTATTGTCACGGAGAAAGTGATATTCGAATGCTAATCATGCGGAACATGGACTAAGAAAATAACAAAGTACATTACACTCGGTATTCAGAAACTAATACATCTCGCTGCAAAAATATTTGCGCTTGTACATGTTAAAACGTCGCTCGGTCTTTATATACTCGCTGTCTCAAATGTGAGGGCTACTGTCGTGGACAGAATACTTAGCCAATTGTGGGCTGTCGGAACTCACCCATCACACACATAAATGTACTTCTTTTGACGACCGATTAGGAGGACTATCTCCTCATTCGGAATTAATGCGTTTCACAGTGTTCACATACTATGTCGATTAGGACAGAAATAAGCGAAGTGTTGTGCTTAGTCGCATGAAGAAGTCCTCTCCTCTATTATGTGAGAGTGTTTTCCTCTGTAGCTGATCCCAGTATATTCTGAGAGAGTGATATTTTGTACTGGGTAGAATACATGTACGCGAGCTGGCGCACAATTGAAAGGAGTATTCATTATCGTCATGTGTAGAATCGACATCGGCACAGGTTGTAGAGCCAATACTTTCGTGTAAAGATCTTCGGCGAACAGTTTCTCTATTTGTAGTCAATTCATCTGCAGATAGATGTTTGGATAAAGATTACTCGGCAGAGTTGGCACTGAACTTCGGCAGCAGAAGTAAATATTTCAGCAGTGGCAAAGCTGTACACCGTCTCCCCTCTGTATACGACTTCAAGGTCGTCGTTAACTGTGATTACTTGTCATTAGCCGCAATTTTCAGGGATTGTGTAAATGTTCAAATCATCAGACGAAAAACTAGTCCAGGCTTAAAAATATTGTTTGAACTGCTTTTCATTATGCAAGTTGTGCTTGGTGTATAAGATAGGCTCAATCACAATCCATGTGATTATCACCAGTTCATCAAATCAAGTGACCTTCATACCCGATCCAGCCAACTAACTTCTTTCGACCAGGATTGATAGTATTATTTGGGGCCATTCCACCCAACTCAAGATCCTTTGCGCCTTACTACGTCCCGACCCCTGCATTAGCACTTTTCAGGTAGAAGTTCGAAGGGATTGGAGAATCGTCTAGTGTGGGCGCGCTTCAGTAATGGCCAGAGGCAGAGAGCCAGAAGCCATATCCCATCGTACGCCTCTCAATCTTGGCAGATACAGAGCAAGCAGACCCCATGCGTAGGCGTTCGGCACTGAAAGCACCATTCTGTGTTCCGGGGCCGTTTTACAACCAATCTAATGCAGGGTGGGATAACGTTTGCTATAGGTCCTATAAATGTCGACAAGCTTCAGTAATGGCTTAAGGAGACAACTCCAATCCATGTCGCAATAGCCTATAACCTTCGTTTTCGGCCCAACATCGAGGGACTGATCAACACTGCCTTTCAGACAGCTCCGAGCACCAGATACCGTGGGCCTAAGTGACTAGCGAGACATTTCCTGTTCAGTTCTATAAGATGTCGACGAGCTTTAGTAATGGCTTAAGGAGAACAAGTCTCCAATCCATGTCGCAATAGCCCATTCATCGATTTGGGCCCAACATCGAGGGACTGATCACCACCACCCCGAAGAGCAGCTCCGAGCACCAGATACCGTGGGCCGTGAAAAAGATAGAACAAGCGATACACACAACTTGTGATGTTTAACAGACAAAGCCATCTCATACTCTTCGCATCTTGTGCAAGCAAACCTTCGCACAAGCGATTCGGACATCGAGACACAGATCCCGCGAGGAAAGGAGGTGCATCGACAATGTCTGACCTGGTAGGGATTGACGGCTGACGTGAAATTAAGCGAAAAAGAAAGATGGAAATTGGATGAAATCAACACCTACAAGTCTCCGAAGCTCTAGACATCGACTGAAAGCTGCAAGACACTGATCATACAAACCTGCTGGAAAATCCTGGCTAATAAGTCGAAGAGTGGCAGTTTCCCCAGCTCTGTATTCGGTGAAACCCTAAGGAGCTTTCGATCGAGATTCCAGACCTTGAAGCCGCGCTATGTCAGCCGTCAAGATCTTCAGCATCTGTCCTCTCTCTTACGGGCATTCTATATCCTGTCTATTCTTCACTTGTGGAAAAGCTGTAAGTAATGTACGCTTGTGTGCATGTCTCCGTAGACTCTCCATCGACAGAAAATTAGGTTCGTTGGAAGCGTTAATGGTGAAAAAGCAGTACGTCTAGAAGCCGCAAAAAGTACAAAAATTATCACAATCTGAATATAATCAATATATGTGATTAAAAATTAGGCTTTATTGATTTCGTAAGAAGCAATGAATTGCGTCAAATTTGACTACATCATTGATATGATATTAAAATTGATCGACATTAAAATTGCCATTATTGATACAGACACAATTTTTTGATGATTCTATTTAAAAATCATGTTTAAATTTACTTGTGGTTATATCACTAATGCTATCATATTATATCAAATAGAAAGATTTTAATTTATAAGCTCAATAATTATTTAATAATAATCTGGTTTAAAGAAAATGATTTTGTATTTAAAAAGCACTCACTTCAATTTCTATGACTTTAAATCAACAAATGATGTTTCCATATTGTTTTCATAGCTATCAAAATTAGCAATATAATTATAGTATAAAAATGAGAGATTAAAATTTTATTGATAATTCCAATTTATGTTATAACTTTTTACTACTTCTCTTGGTCATATTTTACCAAACAGGTAAATTGATTGAATTATTTAAGAAAAATATGTGATGGAATAAATTAATAGATTTTCAAAACTTATAGCTAGACTTACTTAGAGTAACAACTTACAAATCAACTATACATTTTATATCCATTGGAATGAACATCAGTATATATGAAGTCTTAAGTTGTGTGATTATGTACTGCAAAAGGGCATTCCAAAAATTATTTTAAATATTGTTTTCTTCAATTTTCAAATATTTTAAAACAAATTTTCTGTACAACTTGAACAATCTGACTTACAATTGAAGAATAATGTTTTATTTTGAAATATTTTCAATACCCAAGTAGTCTATTAAACCAAACCCTTTGGATGTCTATCTTTATCAATGATACACATCCAAATGATTTACTATCCAACATTTCACTTATTATGACATTGTCATAGAAAATGACTTTTATCAATATCAATGTTATTATCTTCTAATATTAATCACAAAAAACACCTTCAACAACATGAATCTACTTGATTATAATTTACACACAATCAATTCAAAATATACTAAAATTTTCATAATTCTTATCAAATTCAAATATATAAAAATGAAAATCATATAAGGTATTTTCCATAATGTATCAGATATCATTAAATAATAAAAGTTCATTTTCTAAGACTATTTTGAACTTTAATTATATATACATATTTTCATCTCTTGAATAGTAAGTACATATAATTTTCAAGTGATGGAAAAAAATTCATAGTAAAATAATATTGCCTAAAAATAAAAAAAGTAATGCAATAAATAAAATTCAGTCTTTGAATAATTTTTTAAGGTTATCAATATACTAATTGTAATTCAGAAAATATAGATAAAACGTAAATATTTTAAATCAATTAATAATAAAAATTTATTTAAAATAATTTTGAAATTACATGTTATCATCATTATTTTCCCCCATCATTATTTTATTCATGTATGATTCATTTAAAAATCTATTCAGTTTATCCAAAAAATGTGTTACATACACATCATTCAAAGTAAATCTCATTATCAAGTTTGTTTACACATCATTTTTTAAATGATTAGAAAACTAACCCTTGTATGTAAAATTATTCCAAATAAATTATTTGATATTATATTACGTTGTTTTTTAATTATAGCTTAAACATAAATCTAGATATTGAACAACACTTATTTTCATACAGTATATTGATAGCTACAACTTCAAATTCGAAACATCACAATTTTTTTGATTAAAAGAATTGAAAATCTTGTAAAACCATGAATTGCAAAAGTTAATTAGTTATCAAATAAAATTAAAATATGATTTTTTCTTCCTCAAATTTTTTTCATTCCTTTATATAATATAGAAAAATAATAACTGATGAACTATGTGAATTTTCATTCAAATTACATGCACAAAGGAAAAAAATTCATGAAAAAACACAGAATTAAAATATTTTAAAAGTATGATATGCTAAATCTACATGTCTAAACTAGCAATAACATCAATAAATATCTTTAAATACATTGATTGTATTAAAAACTTTTTTTAACCAATAAAATATAAGTATTTACAGAATAAAAGCTGAAAACAACTACCATTTGTTACCGTCTTTACTGTATTAAATTTACCGTACAATATAATATATTTTTTATTAAAAAAAAGTAACAATCTCTAAATATCTAAAATATAAGTAAAGATGATTCAAAAAAAATTTTAAAAATAATGCATTTATAATGCACTATTTATGATTATCACCTTGGCAAATCTGTAAAATTGATTGATAAATGTTAAGTGTGGCAATGATAAACTTGATTAAGATTGAGTTCAGTAATGAATATAGACACATTAGTAATCAATAAAGCTATTAATTATATCTAACATGTTGTCAATATATATTACAAAAATGTGATACAAACAATGATATGTTATCTTCTTGAGTACTTTAAAAAATGATTTTGTGAGATAATATAGAATCAATCTATGTATATCTTCAATTCAAATTTTTTTTCCATTTTTTTCAATATTACAATATAATTAGAATAAATTATATTGATATGAATGAGATTTAATGTTTCATATTATCTAGTTTTTGACAAATTATGTAGATATTTTGTAAGCGAAATAAAATATTTAAAAAATGTAATATCTTTTGCAAGATATTATATTGTATTAGTGTAAAGGTTTCCACAAAGATAAGTAATATTATTTTAAGAAATTCTTTTCGTCATAAATATCTAGGTTTAGTCTTTTAAAAAAAGTTTTAAATACAAACTTATAATGCAGTGTCTAAACCACACATTCTACTCATGTAGATTTGCATGCTAGCACTTTTTACTGAATAACAATCAAAGGTAATTTCATCATGAATACTTTAGTCTTCATCTTGGTACGTTATTTATATTAATTGGAAATTGTATCATTCATGGATTTACAAGAATAGTGAAATCATTTCATTACATTACTTTAAGACAAAGAAGAATTTTCTCAAATTTTATTTTTTATATTGCATAGCAAACAATACATCCTAGTGATATCATTATAAGCTATCTTGGATATCTCACTGAAAAAGACTAATCATATTATTTTTATAGCATACAAAGTGTTATCAAGAGTATAAAAATTCTATCCTGATCTACTACCTAGTAGATCAAACTCATTGTTGTGAATTTGTATATGAGGGGGTTAAGTTTATTGAGATTTTCAATAATAATGATCAAGAAGCATAATACAAAACATATAGATAAGATAATTTGCAAATATTCTCAATAGAAATAGGGTTTTACGCAATTCAATACATGTATCATTTGGATTACATGAAAAGAAAATATGTATGATGTAAAATACTAAGTATAGAATTACAAAAATATATTGATAATTCTAATTTTGAATTAAAGAATGAAATGAGCATGTTGAATGTATAAAAAAAGTTCAAAGTACAATGAAGAACTTTCTTCACTAAAAATTTTCACCTATTGACATCAATTTCATTTCATATATTATTCATCTTATGATTAAAGAAAACTATGATCCATTTAGTTGTAATTTAAATATCTAATTACTTCTACCTAGTTTAAAAATAATTTATTAAACAAATTTTAGGTAACAATAAAAATAATTATAATAATTTCACTCATAAATTTATTTTGGAAATGAAATTATAAATTTACCAATTTTTTTTAAAAATCAATAAAAATAATTTTTTACCTTATGTTTAATTTTAATTTTTTTTAATAAAACTGATCCTTTAGAAAAATTGAATCAAAATAAAATCAAAATTGAAACTTAAAATACAATCAGTTTATAACAAATCAAAGTCAGTAAACACACAAAAGTTTTGAAGATGTACAAAATATGAACTACCATAATTTTTATATTATTGATTTTGAATTCGTAATGTATAATCTCAGCTGCACTTCCAATACATAATTTGCAGTCCACGCGCGTCGCTCCCACTCTTTGCATTCAGAGCTTTCCAAAGCATTCAAAAATTTCCGCCCACATGTTGAGGATTCAAATTTACATGTCTTCATTCTACATTGGTCGGTGGTGAACACGCCTGAGCCCGTCTCAAGGTCTGTATCACATATTTCCCGCAGCAATCTACACAAGACCTCTAAATGCCATGGGTTCGCCTACAAATTACAAGTAAAGGATAGTGGTCGGACCGAAGCAAACATCAGAAAAGGCAAGCCATTCGTCTACTGGGGATTATGGGGTCGGCTGTTTGCAGCAGACACTCGCGAACCCCACTCCAGGAGCTCCCTGCTGGTGTCATCCTTATGCGCAATCACCTCGATGAAACACAGACAGTCGTGCTTCTCCTTCAAAGTCTTCTCGATAGCTTGCTGAAGTTCCTTCTCTGTTTTCACCTTCGTTGTCCAGCATTTGCCTTCGTTGTTGTGAATGGCGTCTACGAGAGCGGTGTAGTTCCAGTTCTTGATCACGTTGTAAGGGCCGTCATGGATTTCCACCTCGATCGTGTAGCCGCCGTTATTGATCAAAAAGATTATGTTGTTCTGTCCGTTTCTAATCATGGTTGAAATGTCCTGACATGTAACCTGGAAACTACCATCTCCGATACATGCGATGACCCGCTTGTCCTTGGAAGCCTGCGCGAATCCCAGAAGGGCACCAACCGACCACCCGATCGATCCGTACTGCATCTGGAACTCGAACAAGCACCCGTCGGGGAGCTTCAGATTCTGGCAATTGAACCAGGAGTCCCCTGTTTCTGCTAGCACAGCGTTATCGGGGGTCAACATTTTCTGAATGTAGTGGAAGAGCTGGTTGATCTTGAGAGCCTCATTCTTCGCATTCTTCGCGTGGAGGCATGTGCCCGGTGGTATGTAAATGCGCTGGAAGTTCTCGTGCGCGGTTGTGTTCTTCTTCAGCGCCTTGGCGAGAGCCTTGAGGAAGTCGTTCATCAGGATGCAGCCGTAAGAAGCTCCGCCGCCCACCGTGATTCGATGGGGCTGAACCAAAATCATCTTCTCCTTCTTCAAAAGGAGCGAGTACCCCACAGAGCTGTAGTCGTTGAACACAGGCCCCACGAACATATAAGCATCTGCGGATTCCACGATCTCCAAAGCGTAAGGAGTGCTGACCGCTCCCCAGTACGTACCGATGAAATGCTCGTGACTCTCCGGGAAGAGTCCCTTTCCTGCAGGCATGACGGCTGTGGGGTATCCCGCTGCATCCGCGAGCTCCAGGACTGCGGCTTGGGCTTTGGCCACTCTGACATTGGAACCCACCACCAGCACCGGTTTGACTGCTGCATTGAGGAATTGGGCTGCGTGTTCCACCGCAGCTTGCAGCGATTGCGGGTTACTGAGCTTCTCGGGCAGAGCGTAGGGGATGGGAGCCCGACTGAACGACGGGTGGGGTTCTCCTGCCAAATTGCAGCTGACGCTGATGTAGACAGGCTTGCTTTGCAGCAGCGCTGTCGAGATGGCTTTGTCGATCAGATCGTGAGAGTCCTCCAAGTCTTTCAGCACGACCTGCGCACAAGTGACCTGCTCGAAGCACCGCAGCTCCTGGCTGAAGTTCGGAATCCCGATCGTGTGATGCAGGATGCGGTTTGTGCCGTAGTCGTTGCTGTTGGGGCCTCCGACGATGCAAATCACCGGAAGATTCTCGCTGTACGCCCCCGCTATGGCATTGATCACACTGAGACCACCGACGGTGAAGGTCACGCAGCAAGCTCCCACTCCGCGACGTCTCGCATATCCATCCGCAGCGTAGCCAGCGTTGAGCTCGTTACAGCACCCGACGAGCTTTAGCTCGGGCTCCGCAATCAGATGGTCCAAGAGCACGAGATTGAAGTCCCCGGGCACAGCGAAGATATCCTTCACTCCGATTTCCACCAGACGTCGGGCCAGATGCCGCCCGAGCGTCGCTTCCGAGCTGCCATTCATCATTCCTCGACCGCCCAGATATGTCGTCGACTAATTGGCCTCCTGGACCGAAACTCTCTCGCTGAATTTCTCGTTCACAGACTTCTTCTTCTTCTCCACCTCCCCTGCCTCTCACAAGACTACGAAGCTCTCATATATCTATCGCCCGGCGCTTCTTCTTGAGCTTATGCACACATCGCTCATGCTCTCGTCGGTCGGTCGCCGGTCTCCTCACGGTCAGCGCATTCTCTAACGTAAGGCATAGTGCTCTGACAGCCCTCGACCTCCCTCCCCCTTAATCCTCTCCTCGTCAGCTTGTCATCGCAGCTCTCACCACAAAATGTGGCGGAACGGGCCAAAATATAATTTCCTTCTGCTCGGAAACGATCTCCGCAGCCGTCTACTCAGCAAGCGATCGTCAGTTTAGCGAAACCCGGGGCGACCCAAGTCGAGCTCCCTCCAGTCACTCCAGGTCCTGAGAATAATCAAACCGCCACGTTCTTTCAACGAGGCGACGACATCATCCGATAGCAGTTGCCATGCTGAGCTAGGTCCGTCCGCTAGCGAAGTTCGCTCCAGAATCGCGACCGTGAGGACCGACCGTGCGAGTGCCCTGTCACCGGGATTCCGAGCCTCCATGTACCTCCTGTCCTCGAAGGGATCAGTGACATTTGCGCTGAGTTCCCTGCTTAGTCATCAGCCACGCAGTTGCTGTACATGGGCTTTCGCGGGCTGCTCGATGACACCTGCCCCGAGCTGATTTGTCGCTGGACTTGCCGCTGGCCCCGTCAGCATGTTTTGCCGTAGATCCAGCGCCGGGCTTCCTCCCGTCCACTTGGTGGGTGGCTGGGGCAGGATCCGCTGTGCCAAGTGCACAAAAGGACAGCAGTTGCATGTCGATCATGCGCTACAGATTCGCGGGCTCCTGTGAAACTAATATCTCGTCCGAGATGCTTGTACTTTTTCCATAAGCTTCTTCTGTAGTGCCTACTTTCGAGATGCATTCCTCGGTTTGTGATCTCGGCTACAAATCGTGTTTATTTGCAGGCACGGATTTGGACAGTTCAGTACTTTGGACTGTGCATGGACGCTTCCTGATTCTTGGAGTTCGTTTCCTTCGATAATAAATCAGAGAACGGATTTCGGTTTGCAGTGCGTTGGTGTAATCTTGGGATTCTCCACTCGAATGTGTGACCCTCGCAGCTCAAGAATTGGACTCTCTGACACACAGACTTTTGCCGCCGAGTCTTCTCTCCTCGTGAAGACTTCGGGTACGACCGTCAGCAAATGTTATCATAGCTTACGTGAGGCTTCTAGTATCTGGGATTAGAAGAAGAGAAAGGCTTGCAGGCCGTAGAATCTGAAGAGTTGTCTTCGATACTTTTCTGCAGGATGTGCTCTAGCGAAGGTCTTCAACGTATCACAATGAGCACTCCCTTTCGTCGGAGAAAGTGGTAAATTCCCTGTTTTCTAAACATAGCAAAAAGATGACATTCACTTGCGTGGTGCTAGTCTCAACGAGCTTCTCCCTCCGTTTTGTGCTTCGTTGCCTTTATTTTATTGAATATGCCGGTTAAGTAACATCTATAGACTAGCAAAGCTTTTGGAGTAGGTACTGCTGTGAATTGCGACTGACTCGAAGAACGTAGGCTGTAAGACTTTTGTGTGCTAGGCAGAGAGTGCATTTGGTCTGCTGGTTGCTGTTGAGTTGCCTGAAGCAAACCTGGTCGGTCCTTCGTTCATGAATACATTTGATAATTAACTAGAAATAGTGACCGATGATTTTATTCTTAACTGTTCTGAAAGTATCTCGGGCGACGCAGTACTTGGTCCGTGCTTATCAGCGATGGATAAGCCTGGCCAGTTCTGTTGTTGAAAGTAACGTCGAATTCCCAATGAAGCCAAAATGTGACTCGATACCTGACCTTCTATTCTCATTCCTTTGTCTATTCCTCCTCCTGCGATTTGCGTCTGCTGCAAAATCGTACCAGTGCAAGATGGTTGACAATATATGGAGTATATTTTTCTTGATTTTGTCGAATCATATTGTCTTTGATACGAGGAACTTTTTCCAGTTTTTTTCTAGATTGATTCTATTTTCTTAATTGTCTGAGCAGGGACTTCTCTCATTTTCAAACTCGTACCTGACTGATCAGTCTTGTTTCTTTCCTTAAATAGCATATGACATCTAGCTTGATGGTCACAACACGAAAATGGAATGGTCGTTTCTCAGGGTTTGTGAGGGAACGATAGAGATATCCAGCTACTCATACTGCTCTGAATACTCCGTTCTAAATACATATACGTTTGCCATTATCCAATTTGTCGGTCACCGAATTTGTACTCAGTTACATTTTCAACGAATGTGACAGAACCCAACCCAATCCAACCCAATCCAACCCAATCGCCCAGCAGACTGTGTTGCTGTTCGATCAAAGTGGAGTAAAATCTACATCTCTTTGTCCAGAAACAAGACAGGGTCAAAATCGTCATTTGACGTTTACGTAAATCAAGAGAATCTCCAAGCGCAGATTGTGCAAGGAGGAATTCGGTGGTGAACCAATGGACTGGTGGAAATTGAATAACGAAACGATCAGGTACATTTGATCTCTTAGTTATTAGCGAGCACTGAAGCAAGTACCGTTTCTCACTGGTCTTAGTTGGAAATTCACAGATCTAGAAGGATTACAAGTGTCACAGTCAATCGCAAGATTGCGAGCCAATAGATGGTCGAGAAATATCAGAATCATTGCTGGCAAGAATGCAATGGTGCCGTCGGATCGAGCACAACCAGTTATATCCCAGATCTTCCTGAGTACCTTGCATCGGGGAATTGCTTACACTCGTCGCTTTCGGGACTTCAGCGAGTGGCCGTAAAAGCCATCAACTGGTCCCGCTTATTGATGGCTTTTACGACTACTTTTAGACCTTTGGAGTTTCATAGAGAAGCTAAAGCATTCATATCCAGGCTGAACATCCATCGGACGCATCAAACAACAGTTACCCTATTCCATTTGTTTGCAACTACCTCCTCTATCTCGTACAAGGTGACAATCTGTCTGCAAGGTAGACTTGGAGACTATCCTGAATGCGAGGAAAGAATTCAGCGGTACTATCTTACAAAACGCTAGTGTGGAACTGCGGTGTACTAATTGTTTACTGCGACAGAAGTGACAGCCAGCGAAATTGTTGGTGCACACAACAATAAGCCTGAAGATAAAACTGTGAGCTTAACTGAGGACGAGTCAAAAATTCTGCGGCCATCGTATTTGAATACTTTACTACCTCCGTGTCCACTACAAGGAGATGGTGTTATCTGATTCTAGTTCTTATCAGTTTTGGATTTCTTCTTTTCGTTGGTAAATATGTAAAACTAGTCTATCGTTTTTAAAATGCCTCGATGGCCCCATAAATGTGAATTGCAAGTATTGCCGTCATCAAGGCGAGCATATATTATGCCACCTGAAATACCACAGCCATTGCCGCCAATGGAACTTGAAGAGTAGAACATGCTATTTGACCACAGAGATCACCAGTTTGTAACTAATCGAATTGTGAGGAGCTCGAAACACATATTTCGCTACTTAAAATCATAAATTGATCAGTGCTCCAAACATGTGTTTCAGACCGTGGAGCTTGAAAAACACAGATATCATAATTTCATATAATTAAGTGCTCCTGCCATATTTCTCATACCATAAACTCTATAGCATTGCTTGAAGAGTCACTGAAAGTCTCGATGACTCGACAGTTTAGAATCATAATCGTAGATAGCTGTGAAATTTTCGAGCACTAAAATTGATCGAACAAAACTTCTGGGCAATATAATGGACGTTCTTTCCTATTTACCACTCTTCTTCCTCGTTCATGAGCACCTTTAAAACTTCTGACAAGCAAGAAGAATTCTACGAATGTTGAATATCACTTATCCAGTTGTTAATTAAGAAAGTTGATATGCAGAAACAATTGCAACTGGATATTAGCTGATCAGTCAACATCACACACTTGATTGTCATACACATAAGACCTGATTGTCAGCAACAAAAATGCTACGGTGGAACGTAAGTAGATGGTACACTGGCAGACCTTGCAGCTTTTGTCATACGTCGGCACCTTCAGTGTAGTTGAGGTCCATTAAACGTGTCAGCAACATCAGGTAGACACATTAGCCAATGAAGGTCTGAAAGGAAAGCAAATGGACTCTGCGAGTTTCAGGTCCCTCACATTTTTGCCCACATCCACACACACGAGATGTTTTGTTTGCAGACTATACACAAGGAGCTTCAGATCATTTGCCTCGCACGTGGAATCACCGAGAAGCCTGCACTTATGATCATGGCTCAAAAAATATACGAAGTCGCCAGCAGGACTGATGAAGGACATGTAACAGACGACTCTGAACTCTCGAGGCAGCAGGTGGAACAAGGTTTCCAACTGCTGCGACAAAGGCTCCAGCACAGACACCCATGATGTAATCTCGCCATCCGATTCTTGGATTACGAAAAAGCTGTATCGATTCCACCAGGGGGTTTCCACGAGCAGTAGCTTGTCCTCGTACACAGCAAGCTGTAAATTATATTGTACCTTTCTTCGAAGCGGTACAACACTCCATTTCTCTTTCTGAACATCAAACTTGAGAAGGTCCCAAAACACATCCATGTACTGTACGAGGGTGTAAAGACTGTCATTCCAAACGATGCAGCCGCGTCGCATGTTACACGTCCTGGACCTCGTGTCTATGGACAGCCGTCTAGTGCTGGTGAAGTCCATGCTACCCGAAGGAAAATCATGTACTTGTGTCCAGCGCTTGCTCTGCGAGTTGTAAATCTTAGTTCGTAGCGGAGCGCCCTTCTGCAAAGTTGCGATCAGCAGCTTGTAATGCCCTGTATCTGGGTCCACAAGCAAACCTCCAAGTGTTTGTCTTCCCAGACGATCTGTCCAGTGCCGCTGCTCACCATGTACTGAGCAAAGTTGAGTATCATCTCTTGCAGCCGATGTAATCTCGGAGCTGATGTTTTCAAGCGTGAGACACATGGACTGCTTTGTGACAGGATTGCAGACAAGGAAATGGCCAAAATCTCGAGTGGAGAAACACAGGACGCCGCCATCCGATGCAATCAATTCCAATCTAGATGTTTCGTGGCGCGGATCAACAAGCACGTGAAGGGAAGACCGGGATAGGTCCTTTATTCTTCGCTGGTGCCAAGAATTCGATTTCACGTCGTAAATTACTACCCTCTCCTCCACGTAGAGCATCAGAACTATATTTGCTTGATCTAAGTTCCGGGCAAGAAATTCGGAACTTAAGATCCGAGTCATCCACTCCTGGTTCAGAGTTCGTAATCCAATGAGTTTGACAACCGGCAGCCTCTTGAATATAGCGGCAATGAGATCATCTGGCAGTGAGCTCCATAATTTTGGGCAAAGCTCACTCGGTAGCTGCGAATTACTCATCTACTATGGACAAAAGTCAATTGGAATTGAAACTTGCAGAATTTCATTCGAGTGTGGAAGACTGCAGGGCATCTCGATAGCCGTGTGAAAAGTGGAAGTGGCAAAGAGGATGAACGATTGATCTTACTCAATTCCACCGCCTGAGAGGCCTGTGCTCTGGTGCTCATCTCTCCACCAGTCTAGCCACCGCAATCTCAAACGAAGAGCCTTCTAAATTTGTATGTTTAGGTTTTCGTACTCGAATTCCAGGACAACGACCTTGCTTGCCGCAACGAGCGCTTGACAAATGAGTCAACGAGCATTTTCAATCATTCGTTTGAGTCCCGTGTCAGTAAACGTCTCGATAGAAGAAAACGACTTGGAGGTCATCTTCATTTGAATCTATGAAACTCAGCCACACGTTCCGATTCCATGTTTATACAGTTTTGGAACTTTTCCGGATCTTTGCAAGTCCCATATAAACCCAAAGTCAGCTCAGATTTGAACATCGCTCCTACGATATACGGTGACAGGTCCTAAAAAACCTGATGCAATTCAGAACTCGTAATCGTAACTTGTGAACTTCAGTGTACACGATACGTTCTATGAGTTTCTTCCTGGTCCATCTCTCTTCTAAATCTCTGTACTCCATGTGTCAAAACCACTGAAAGTGCATTCAAAGTTCGATTATTCTTGTGATGAAAATGACGAGATGACTTTCTGTCTTGTGATGTATCTAGCGACTGGAAGTGTCGAACTAGCTTGATTCAGAAAATCCCTTCGTAGCTTTTGAACTTCGAATCGAAAACAAGAGCTTGGAGGTCTTTCGATGGGTGGAACAACTAGAACCGTTCCAATATGTTTTGTATAATTACTCATCAGCAAGAGCTTTGAATCGTTCTGTCTTGATTTACATTTGTCTCAGTTTTATGCAATTCTCGCGGTTATATGATGATGACTCAGCTCAAAAAGAGACAAAATCCATTGATCGGATAACTCACGATTTATATTTCAGAGAAAAACTGATCTCTCTGGACACGAACAAAGCCGCAGTTCTAAGAAGATAATGAAGACGTTATACGTGGGGTATGTTTTGCGGGGCAATTCTCAAATGGAATGAAAGAGGGCTTATTTCACAACCACAAGAGACATGGATCAGTGTTCAGGGTCAGGGTTTAGGATGTGGGGGGATTTTATGACACTTCGTTTTTGAACTTCAGGACTGATCTTGTACGTATCAATTACGACACCTCGCATCCTAGAACTACACACAAAGAGATAAATGAAGATCCAGATTTTTCATATTGATGCAACGGGTTATCTCATTTGCCTAGAAAATGTAATCCCAAAACTGTAATGCATACCAATACCAAAATTCAATAGCTTGAAATATAGATGAAATATTGTCTGACTTAAGGACCAAGCCCTTATATATGCATTTATAGTGATTTTAAAGAGATTGACTCCATCATTCATTCAATTCTTTCTCAACTTATGTGTCATCGTCACATCCAGAAACTAAAAAAAAAGGGTTGTAAGAGTGTGTAACTAGCAAGAAACTCTACAAATGCAATCTGCTCGATCAATAATAAGGATATCATTCCATGAAAATTTGGCAAAGAGGTATATTGAGAAGTTTCTTGTGATAAACTCCAAATGTCCTGGACTAAAAATGTCACCATATTCTTCAATAGTCCAGCTAATATCTTTAGTCTTCTTTCTGATTCTTTATTTATTAGCTTTTTTCTGTAACAAGCGTAGAGCTATTAGCTTTTTTCTATTCTTGCAGTCATACTCAAAAGAACGAGTGCAAAATAATTTGCGCTTTGATCTAATAGCGAAGTTATTACATCATTGAAACTTCTTCCTAAGTTAATGTCTCCAGCCTTAGACAAGTGTAGATCAAACTTAATTTCAAAGCCCAAATAAGATTGAGTTTAAACACCTTAACAATTGAAATCCAAGTGAACCACATTAAGAGTTGATTACTTGTGAAATTTTTTGGATGCATGATGTGGAAATCTGAAAGGGAAAATGAGTAGATATCACACTAATTTTAGTTAAATAATGAACTTAAATGTATTTAAATGAATTTTTGATTCCTTCAGGCTTCTATTTTCTAGTTGTTTTATATTAAAGAAAAATGAGTCTGAAATATTCTAGCCTAACAAAAACCTTCTTACAATTTTATTAATTCTTTTCTCGCCAGATTTTTGTAACGTTGAATTTACATAAAGTTTTATGATTGTTCACTTTTATTGGAAAAGTTGTTGAAATGAAATCAAAATCCAATTATAGTAAGCATATACAATATGTACGACTGTGGACAACATTTTTTGTTTTCCATTCACTTCCAAAAGAGATATTTTAGATCGAAAATATAGTTCAGTATTTTGGAAAGTGACGTTCTAAGAAATACCTCGTTTGGCCTTCATATTTCCGTAGAAGGATAAACTTTCGTTGTCATTGGAGCTGTTAATGACTCTAATGTCTGCGTCTATGAGTGTCTTCCTAAGGAGCTAATAAAGAGATCATTTGGGAACTCAACAATATTTGTGGGACCCGTATTACTTGCGTATCGCAGTACTTTCCCTTTTAAGATGATGAATTAGATATATAAATAAAATTGGCGAGAAAAGAATAAAATAAAATAGATAAATAAAATTATAGAATATGACAGTCGTTTTAAGATCGTTGCAGAAAGGTCTAAGATATTCTCGAAGGTTTGTCATAGTTCCTCTGATTTTCCAGTTGATTAGATAGCTTTAAATACTTATAGGAGCTCATTAAGTATGTGTTTTGCTACTCTCGATTTTTGAACAATGAATCTCATTCAATATTTCATCCAAATCATACAAGGAGGGCCAAGCGTATGGTTTGCCGTTCGTGTATTCTTTGTACGGCTGCTGAGGAACCGTCCAGCAGAAGCGGTTAGGCACCTAACAACCATTCCAAAATGTCACAGACGCGCTTGACAATCCGTTGAGGTTTATTCTCGCGCAGTTTTAGAGAGCTTTCTCGGCACAAATCTATCAGAAAGACGAAGGGAGTTTTTAAAACCAAGCATTTGGACTTGACTACAATCCATGAGTTAGTGACTGCTGGATTGATTGTTAATCCCAAATTGAATCCGATATCAAAGAAGCAAAGGTATAAGTCCGGACACCACTTGGACTTGAGATATTCTCAGTTCAAGATTGTTTGGTGCTTGTTAAAGCAGTTATAAATTAAAGTTTGAAACGGGAGATAGTCCTCTAGTGGAAAGCATAACTTTAATTTGGTGTTATTTATCTTCGAGCCAGAAATTAACTGATCATTTACTGGATCCAGAAATATACAATGTTCACTTAGCTTAATTTTTCTACCTTAATTTCATCCAAAAATGACCACAATCAATGCTGAGATTCAAGCAGATCGCATGTTTCTGTCGATTGGGGACTTGCATCCCGTACAAAGTACGCGTGTTGAGTGTTTGGAAGAAGGTTCTACAGCTTTCAAAGACACCGCTCATGGCCATCAGGAACTAGATTATAACCCATTTGACATCTTACTCACGACCCTCGTCACGTGATATTTTAGTTCTTTTTGGTTTCCATCACAAAAAAACTTGCAGGTCCTGTACAGTAAGCTACTCCCTGAGTAGCTGTGACTCACGTGATCCTGCAAATTTCATCAATGCCTTTCGGAAGCAGACTATATAGAGGCATTTTTCTAGCTAAGGACGGTACTCCAAAAAAATCGTTGGCCTGGAAAATCTCCAAGCGTGCAAATCTCGGGTTCACACGGACCCACGAGCCATGCCAAACAGAGATCCGGGGGAATTTTGCTCAGGGGTCAGAAACCACTGATCGTCATCTTCATCTCATAGGCAGCAAATCGCTCCATACTTAAAAGCACGCCAGTGCTCAATGACCACACCATCAAAGTCGGTTCCAATACAAATTTCTCGGAATGGACAAATCTAGAAACATGTGGGTTTTGTTTCGACAACAAAAAAGAGTGGGGAAAGCTTTATAAGGGTCAAATGTTTACAAAATTATGAGGGACTAATCCCCGTAGCAACTTTTGCAGCAGGACGCAATGAAAACAGCGATGCACCTATACATGGGTCCATAATTCTTTGCCAGGATCATCCAACAGAAAGAAAGACTGGGGTTTGCTTAGCAGAGAACATTGTCTAGAGAGGCACAATAATGTACGAAAGTTTTCACGTTGGTTTCAAGTACTAGACCCTGACCCAATCCGTAAATACCAGTGCACTCACCATACCTAGACTCCAAGGTGGGCAACTTGTCTCATCTCCTCATCATCAAGATTCTTCTAAATTTCGGACATAAACCTGGTTTTCATACGATCGAACACCTCGGTCCCTAGCATCTCCAAGTCTGGACGAAATCGGAGAATGGCTCCTACGGTCTCCAGAATCGGTCGCACATGACCACGAGCTGTCGCCCTGGGAGACGCGACAGGTCGCGATTCGAAATCTAAGGAGGCCAAATTGTAACACGTCACGAGTAGTGTGAACGACAGAACGGAATACTCGACAGTGGCCTTCTGAGCATCGGCCAAGCTTATACCATCTGTGTTGGGGCTATCTTCTGGAGCTGTCACCTTCACTTCTTTCACGACCACTCGTAAACAGGTCTCGAAATGTATTTGCGCAGCATTTTGGATGGTCACCTCCTTCACTACAACGTGGGCGATCTGGGTGATTTGTAATGCAGTTTGAACGACTGTCACACCACCACCACCAGCATGTGTGCATGCACCAAGCCGCCACGCAAAGGAAGAAATCTGCATATTGTCAATAACATTTTCACCAAGTATGTTTGACATTAGTGAATTTCATCTAGTTGTTACACCATCTCCGATACACTGAATACGAATTACTACTTGGAGTTCTTCAAATAGGATGAAACCATTTCTCACTGTTAGCAAATAGCAACCTTCCCCAGAAATTGGCTAAATACTGGATTGAGAGATACAAGAGCGTGGTCAGATTATCCCTCACCATGAACCCAGAAGGGTGGATAATACATCCTTCACGAGACGAAATCCATTTGAGTAAATTCTTCCGATGTGGTTCCAAGGAACCTGGAATTTCCGTCGTCGACATTGATGAATATATTCCAATGTATACGCACCGGAAAGGTTGACTTGCAAATCCTCCCTCCAAGTTTGTTGATATCACTGCACTTACATTAAAAAGTCATGGGTCTCGGAGTTCATGTAGAACATTTGCTAAAAGGCAACGTTGCTTTATGATCTCATACTCGCTCACAGTAGAGCACACCATGACTGCATCTTAATCACTACTAAAACCTCGGATACAGTAGTTCCAGGATGACTTACAGCTGAGTGCAGTGGGATGATAGAGGAGAAGAGCACGAGGAGGTCCATCAGTGCTGAAAATCATACCCCGAGACCTGCGTCGCACAAGTTCGATTGAGAAACGAAATATAGATAAATGTTGAATAAGGTTCAGTGAAGTAAATACAGAAAAAAATTCCTTATGGCTGATGGAACGTACGCTTGCAAGAGCTCAGGGACAAGCTTTGGTCGCACGGTCAGAGAAAACTCCTCCGGAGGGTCGACTCGGAAGTCTGAATAGTATTCAACAACACCTTTGACTTCTTCTGCAACGAGGGAAGTCATATCTGACTGCGATATCAGAAGCTAAGGGTCAGTACTGTATAAGAGACTGAGTGGCCGGGTACGAACCAACACAGACGAGGGACTGAGATGCGACTGGCCCTTACCATGAGTCGATATATGACGTTTCTTCTCCCCTTGTTGTCGCTATTCGACCCCGAGCGAGCTTCCCACCGGCGGAAGAGTCGGTACAGCACACCCATGATCAGCAGGGTCCCGTGTATAAACTGAAATCTTCCACGGCGATAGAGATTCTCCAGAGTCGGAGGATCCTGTTGAGCCACAAGACTCACCATATACTTGCGGAGCTGACGACGGAGGAAAGGGATTATCTCCATCATCTTAAGTGGAATCTTGCTGTGGGCTGGCCATTCAAGAGCAAGATTGTAACCTCTGGGACGAAGACTGAGTATCTTTCTTCCCAAATTCGGCAAAGTTTGTTCTAGGGGCCGTGGTTCCCCCATGGTTTGGCACAGGAGCTTCCTTGTGCAAGCTGGTTCCGGGGTTGGCGATCCGGAAACAGTGTGAGTGTGATACTGTAAAAAACATTGATCAAATGTAGTGAATGAGAAAGGAGAAAATTCAACCTAACTGAAAAGCAAATTTTCTTCAGACCCGACTAGATTCTTACCGAAGAAGATTTAGGAATGTTGTTGACAGGTTTAATCTCACATAGAACTTTGCGTGAAAATGAACATGGCCTAAAAACTCTCCCGGAACCGGTACGTGGAGCAATTCCACTGTTGAAATTCAGATACCGACTTACAACAACAGTGGAGATTATCAAAGCTATCGAGAGTAACAGGAAAGCGAGGAACAGGAAAGCGAGGCGTGCGTGTGAGAGCTTCATATTGCGGGAGATACTAGAACAACTTTCATTAGTTAAAAGTATTGGAAGTAAGAGAGCAGCCGGTTAAATAGAGATCTGAGTCCGATTCAATCATATGAGTTCAAAATGACCGTTCTCATCGACGTGAGGATGATCAATCACATGAAGGCTCATAAAATCGATCGTTGTGAACGTACATGTCACCTCTTGCCGGGCTTACCAACCTTCGTGTTGTAGATTTGTAACAGTTTTATTATGTTCCGATCGCAAAGGGAAGCCCCACCTGAACGTTCGGCTTTAGAGATGGGCAATCGTCACAAAATTTCGAAAATCCGTCTCGCTCACAGAATTTTGAACGGTATTAGTTACCGATGTATTTTGGATGATGATGTTATATGACATGTGCCTCGTTCGGCATTCGTCTTACAAGGTAGGATTCCATCGCTAGCCACAGTCTTCCTACTTCCTGGTCCATCTCTTTTCCAAAGTCCTGATACGTGTCAAAGCTACTGACAGTGTAACGAACACTACGTTATTTTTGTTATAGAAGTAACGAGGTTACTTTGCAGCTTATGTAGCAAATGGAAATGTGGAATTCACTTGATTTGTAATACCCCCTCGCTGCATTCGAACTACAACTTGAAAATAAATTCCTTGCAAGTTTTTCGATGGTAGAACAACTAGAACCCTCAATAATCTGTTTGCGAACGCTCCAATGTGTTTTGTATAATTATTCATCAGCATGAACTTTGAATCGTTCAGTCTTGAGTTCTATTTGTCTCAGTTTGATGCAATTTTCGCGGTTATATGATTATGACTCAGCTCAAAAGCAGACAAAATTCAGTGATCGGATAACTCATGATATATATTTCAGAGAAAGAATTGATCTCTCTTGACACGAATAAAGCCGCAGTTCTAAGAAGATATGGATCTGTGATACCTGGAGTACCACAGATCCATATCTTCTTTGCGGGACAAATCTCACATGGAATGGCAATTGTCTTCTTTCACAACCGCAAGAGACACGGATACTGGCAGTTGTCAGGTGAATGGGCAGTGGTCAGGTGTCAGTACCTCATTCAATTATGTCTTTCGCAACATACATGTAACCACAAAGGGTGGTCAAAGTGGGTAACAAGCAAAAGATTCTATCAATGCTATCTACTTCATAAATAGTAAGCATATTATTCCATGAAAGATTGGCAAAGTTCTCTTTCAGGAAAGTTTCTTGTGATAGATTCAAAATTTCCTTAACAAACTTTGTCACCAGATTCTTTCATAGTCTAACTTATAGATGATAATTCGGGATTTTGTGTATTGAAGTTTCTCTTGGTAACAAAAGTAGACATTAGTTTTTTCTATTCTTGCATTTACACTACAAAAATGAGCTCAGATTTACTTACACAATGACGTAAGGGCGAATGGCGAAGTTATTGGATTATTTAAATTTCTTTTGAGTTTATGTCTCCCACCTGAAACTAACGTGGTTCAAAATGAATCTCTAAGAAAAACCAAAATTTCGTTTAACATCATATCAATGAGATCCAAATGTATCACAACTAGGGTTAATACTGCTCAAAGTTTTGGATGCAGTGTTAAGGGGAATTTTTCCAATAACTGAGTAAACTTGACACTAAGTTACGTTAAACTATGCACTTGAATGTAACATGCGCACTATATTCTACCCAAATTATGAATAATGAGTCTGAAATTTTCTAAGCTAACAAACATGTCTTACCATTTTTGTTTCTTCTTTTCTCGCCAGAGTTTTGTAACGGTGAATTTACATTAAGAGCTTTCACTATTCACTTTCTTTAAAGTAATGTTGAAAATGAATTGACAAATGAAATGAACTAAGGGTATGCAATTAAAACTGTAGGCTACATGCTACTGAAATCTTTCTTAATAGTTACTTCAAGGGTACTACAAGGAAGAAATTAATATGCTAATTTGAATTTGTGGAAAATTTTCTCTAGTATAAGGCTGATATGAACCGGAACAAAGAATACTAATGGCTTAAGTTTAAATTTTATCACCTAGGCATATATATGTTTTTGAAACTTCCATTATATTCTCAATTTCAATATATTTTTTAAATTTCTAAAAAAATTCAAGCTAAAAAGATGCTGAGCTTGCAGTAGTGACTAAAATGGGTTTCTATCTGGTTTGGAACTCTATCTATTTTTTAGCTGAATCTTATTGATTTTGACATGTTCACACACCTTTATATTTGTTCATGAACTCATATTCTATTATGCTATTACTTTATTCGTATGTATTATGAATAAAAATGTTTTTATTGCATGTTTCTACGGAAGCAGAATTGATAGAAATCCTATGAAAACTTTCTTTCTTTCTTTGTCACTAAACAACCCAAAGAGGATGCCAAGGATTACGTGTAACGCAACAAAAAAGGCTCATCAGATTTTTGTACTAATGTGGAGATTTCAACATAAGATTTAAAAAGAGTACTCCACACAGTCCCAATATCAGTTTCGATATTATGAGTTTGTAATATCATTCTGATGTATACTCTATAGCTTGCTTATCTTAGAGCAAGAGTTTTCTTGAAAGACTAAAATGTAAGTAATTGATCATTTCTATATACGAATTGAATGCTATGACTCCAAGCATTACACACAGGTTCATCAATTTGAGATTTTTATAATCACTGCTCAAATAAATCTTGTTGGTAAGTGGTAAACAGTTAAATACAAAAGCTTGCCAAGGAGAGATAAGTTTCCCAGTGATTGATTATTATTAATTATCCTCAAACCAGGAAATATTTGTTCTGGTCGAATAGCTCGGATCCAAATTCCTCTGGCTCTGGAAAGTCCGTCGGATTCATCTGCACGGCCTCAGGCGCTAGCTATATACTCATCCGGCATCTTCCAGGATGCTCAGGTGCCCAGGCTTTCACATCCTGCTCTCCAATCACATACACCACGAGGTTGCACAATGCTTGAAAATTCGTCAAAATCATTCTCGTTGAATATGATATGAATGTCTAAAAACTACCTCCTGGAGATGGTAGCCACTCAGATCCATGCATTCATCAAATGTTTCTTGAGCAGAAACAGGCGATGGTCTATCGTTGCGCGTAGTCTGCATACAGTGAGACCTTGACCAGCTTCCTTAATAGCAGCAATTCCAGATTCAATTCTCGCCTTTAAACTTAAATAGTAGTGTCATGTGACGAGCTCAATTGCATTGTACATAATACATGCTATTACTGAACTCTCGTTGTCGTAAGATCTTTATCCTGAAAATGGCCATATTCACATATGGGGGTTTGTCCTCGAGATCCTCCGTGGTGCTGAGGTTGTCACGAGGCCGAGAAGGATCGACGTCTGCCGCCATTTTCCTCTCGCAGTCTTGTTCAATAGCCAAGAGACATGTCGAAATCAAAGAGCATCTTCATGGTCGCTGCCATTAGCATTTGCCTTTTGCACTCAGGTGGTCCACGAGTCATTTGAACAAAAGTTGGAATTCACTTCTGGAATATGGGAAAGAGAATTCCCACCATGGTGTTCAGTGGAACTCTGATGGATTTCAACGTGGTTGTGACAAGCTACACATCAGGCCCCAGGTTGTCAAGTCAATCAATATGAAACAAATCCAAATTCCGATCAAGTAGTGCTTTTAAAGTAACACCTGTGTTGAATATGGAAAGTCATTGACGTGCGGCTCTCATTCATTTCCCTGAGCCTGAGCTGACAGAAATTAATCTTAACATCAATAGCTGATACATGCTTTAACGTGAATACTCTGACTCATTATATCTTAATATGGTATATACAGTGAAAAATGGTGCAAATAACCTGTTCCGCAAATGGAAAATTTAATTGAAAATCGTTATTCCTGGTCAAATATGTATCTACTAGAACAATGATAGACACTGACAATGGCATAGCACGTGAAAGAACTCTTCTCTCAAGCTTTCCGCGATTCATGTTTAGATGTCAGAGTACTGTTCAACATGAAGACTTACGATGGAGGCATCCATTATCTTCATCATGTTAGGGGGTAATTATAAGGCCGGTGAGATCCTCAAGAGCTGGACATAGTTTATAGTAAATGGGCAGAGTATCATTCTTCCCAAATTCTACAAAATGTGCTCAAGGTCCCGTCGTCTTCCACGGGACCTTCAACATCAGCTGTTTCATGATCTTACAGTTTCATCATCATGTGTTCTATCAAGAAATGTCTTCCAGTTTTTGAGCCAATTTTCTTGCTTGATAGCGCAGTGATCGACAGATATTTCCAATTTTGACTCACTGTATTTTCCACGGTCGGGCATGCAGTCGGTGTGATGAGCCTCGCGGGTTTTTACCCGGATCGCACTCTTTGCAACAGGTCGTGTGGAGGGACACAGCGGCGCTGGGATGCGGGTTGGCCACTTGTCCCTCCGGTGCGTTGTTCGTCGTTTGCAGCTACGACCCCCTGGGAAACGTTGACTGTCAGCTTCCCTACTAGACTTCCTCTACGAACAGCTGCGGCCGTCGAGCGACTCCGAGTTTCATTCTTGCTGAAGTGGTGGACACATAGTACAGTAATCTCAGTACATTCAGGACAAGTACATTAGTGGAAGAATATCCAAGGCAAATTAGGGAGGGGCAGGGATGAGAATTTCATAGGAGGGCATTCCAGCGCTCTCTGCCGAGAGGATGACAGAGAATGCAGTGGGAATCGTGTTTCTGAATACATCGCATTGTGCATGCTTTTACGCTGGCAGAGTACTGACGGATATACTGTAGATGAGGTTTTAAGTTCGCATCAATTAGTACAACCACTTTTAAGCAGAACTCGAAGCCCTGTAGGGCATCGTGGTTGCAACTTGTTAGCAGTCGTAGCGGGTAGCTTGAGGATGGGAAAGAGGAAACGTCATCTCTATTGATGGCTCAGTGGATTTCAGAAAGCTCAATCGTAATACAGATATTGGAGAAGGAGTTGCGATTTATGTGAATCTTTTCTCCTGAAATCTGTTTTGTTCTTAATAATAAAAGAAGTGCATGGCGACCATAAAATCTCTGGCAGGGAAGTC